TTTTAACAAACAGGAGGTAGATAGATCTTCAACTGATGATGCCAGTAATCCAGGTCATAATAGAAATCCAGAATCCAGGGATCATAATGTGAGAGTAAGAAAAATGAAGTTAGAGAAATCTATGCAAAAACAGACAGAAGAGGATCAACAGCCACCGCTGGTAGAACCTAAATCAAGACAAGAACAAGAAAACCAGCAGCAGCAGCAGCTAGGTGCAGCTGTATCTGAACCTACACAGTTCACATCACTGCAGAAAAAAACACAATTCAACAAACCGTTTGATCCAGATATAAATAAAGCTGGTCCTAGCACTTCACATAATGGTAAGTGGAGATTGTATTTTTAAATAATAGTTCACTTCTTCTTCTTCTTCTCCTCCTCCTCCTTCTTTTTCTTCTTCTTCTTCTTCTTCTTCTTCTATCCTCATCCTCCTCTTCCCCTTCCACTCTTCTTCTTCTTCCTATTCCTCTTCTTCTTCTTCTTCTTCTTCTTCTTCACATTCATCGGCTGTAAAGTTCTAGGTGTTAATCCACCTCTGGATTTTAGTTTTGTTCCAGAACCTGTGTGTCGTGTGCAATGTGCACATCTGTTTTACAGATCTCACTTAATTATATGCAGACTCTTGGTTCCTTGCCTCTCAGGCAGACCTACAGCCAATCTGAAGGATGCCCCTAATAAATCGACTTTGATGTTATGCTTGTTGGGGATGCAGTGAATCTCTTCTTGTTTTCCACACAATGGGGCCCTGGAACTCACACAGGGAGGGGAAAGGTTTAAGATATAAGGGTTTAAAGTTGGGAAGGTTGACTTCATTCCTTCAGGTTTTTATCCCATATGGCTCTGTCTCTCTTTGCAGAATGCTAACCACTACACAAAGCAAGAATTTTGTACTTCATCGATATTTTGAAGAATTTCCTTAAAAATTCAATTTTTATTAATCGAAAGGTGCATTCCATGAAATGAACCCCAAACCTTCATTTTGTGAGGTAAACAACTTGACCTTTTCACCCTGGAAACCCCTAAACTATTGGTTAAAACAGTTATCATTGGTTTTTTTCTCGCTTGATTAATTTCTTTACGCTTTTTTTAATTCAGATGATTGTAGTTATTTTGGTACACCTCATGATTCCCACCCATCTCATTTGGCTGCGTGATTTTGTAACAGTTTCCTCAGGCTGTTCTATGTTTTAGGGGTGTATTGTGTTTTGAATGTTTTAAATACCCCCACCACCAATGACAGCCACCGCCAAAGAGCATTACAATACACAAACATCAGTGATTCAATACTCATGAATCTGTCATTCAGGCACCCTGAGTACTTTTTCCTTGTACACAGTCACCTGGGGCACCTGAGACCTAATCACAACCACACATTCCAGAAACAACACTCGTTCACAGAAAAAAAAGAGTCACTTTTCGGCACGCTGTGTATACACAGTGAAGGAAGACATCTTGTAACACCATTACAATGTAGTACAGCCTGTGGCAACTGATAAGAAATCACACAGCTGAACAAGACGGGTTGACAAATGCCAGCTTTACTTATTTTTTATTATGTGATTTTTGTTTGGCTTAATCTGAGAAGTTATTAACTGATTTCCTGTGAGATGTAATGGGAAACTGGGTTTCAAAAACATATTAAGCTCGTGAGTTGAGATACCACTGTACTTGCATTAACTCTGTGTCTTGTAAACAGGCCACTGTAGACAAGTCAGAAAAGTGACATTTACGCAGAATTGGCCCAGCTGGAAGTATTATTGTTGTGGCTTCTTGGAGTGAAAGGGTTAACAAAATTTTGAGAACAGATGCCTTAGTAGATAAAATATTTGTATCACATATAAGTGACCTGCTCTGAAGATTGTGGGTTTTCTTCACGGAGGCTTCTCGTTCACTTCATGATTACAGTTATTTACAGAGATCCCTGGGGATCATCATTGGAGCTGTGAAGTTCATGCTGTGTGTGGAGCTCTCAGCAGCTGGCTACCCATTTTGTGGGAGAGAGAAAGAGCCATATAGGAAAACCTGGGGCAATGAAGCTTCTCGCCTTTAATTGTAATCACATTCAATGAGTTCTACTCCCTTGTTGTTAGCTCCCAGTTACTAATAAAAAAAAAATCTTTGATGATGTCTAACTTTATAGCTGTTCACAGGGTGAACAATGTTGAGTTGCGTCATTGATATGAATTTGATATTTTTTATATTTTGTATGTAACGAATGAAATGATAATAAAAGACGATCACAACAATAATATACTTCTGTTAAATTTTCTAATATTTTTTATTAAATATTCCAGATTCTAGGACTCATGAAACACAACAAATTCACAATGGCAAGCATACAAAAAGTGAGGATTTTGCAAAGCAACATAAAAAGGCAACTGCAGTGAGTCTTTGTGTCCCCCCTCCTGTGTCACTTTTTCTTCTTCTTCAAATGAAACCCATCAATGACATTACACACATTCTCACTGTAGCATCTGAAACCTGAGGACTTAGGTCTCTTAAGGCCTCTAAAGGGTCCTCTTTTACTATTTATAGAAATTCTCTTCAGAAGTATTTGTTTACACATTTCATATTACTCAAAAGTACGGTGTTTTATTTATTTGCCATAGAGCGTAATAATCTAATAATAATAATGTTGTGAATGACACAAAAAATAAAAATATATTCGAAACAAAAGTGCCGGAACATGGGAGCTCTGGCACCTTGAGCCCCCACCCCTCCCCTCCAATGTGTAATATTCTGGAGGATTGAGCATTTTTAGAAAGCAGCCACCCCTCCTCTACCCCTCTCCTATTTGTTCATACATTGTATATTCCCATTATTATTGTGCAGTTAAACAAAGCTTGAGCCCCTTAGATTTGACAGCACTAGATCTCCAGCGTGCTTCTCTGGTATGCTACAGCACCGTGGCTCCCTTTGCCATCTGTTATTTACTAAGATTATATTTTCATTTGTCGGCTCTGTGGCTAAGTCGATGCGAACGCTTCGTAATGCCGGTGTGCCGGGTTTGATCCCAGCTGCGAGCCATGTGCCTTGCGTTGGTTTCGATAGTGGTGTCAGGAGGCCGACCGTCCAGAAAGCTATGGCAAACTACTGGACATAAATTTGCCTAGAGAAATCACACAACATTCATGGGCTGCTGGTGTTGGTTCTGCAATGTCCTGATACGTTACTAACTAACCTAATATTTTCATTTGGATATGTTTTCATTCAGTCCACAGAAGTTCCTACAGAACTATCGGACAGTTCTGAACATGAAGTTGAGAAAATTACAGTACAAAGAATTGACACTGTCATTTGCATCACTGCAGAAAAGACTATAACTGAGGTCCGTAGTTCCAGAGGAGAATTAATTCGACGAACAGAAAATACAGTGAGTGCTTGATACTGATAAGTAAGACCCATAGACATGTTAATGCCAAATTAAGCAGATATATTTGTATCTTTGCTTTCACCAACTCTAAACTCCAGTGGAAAATCCACTTCTGGATTTTGGCCTTGTTGCAGGACTTGAGTGCTGCATGTGGATCGTTTTTAGCGCTGCCTTTTTTGTGTAAAGGCTGTGTTGTTTTGTGACCTCTCATCCTGTCTGCATGGTCTCGAGGCATGGTGTCCGCCTGGAGTGCTAGAGGTTTCGGGTTCAATCCCCGGTAAGGGCTGGGATTTTTTGCGTGGACTTGGACTTCTGGTAATTCTTCCTGGTCTCTGGGTAGTGAGATTGGACACCTGTGTGCATTGTTGCGCATGTAAAAAATCGCTTGGCAGTTGGAAATTGAAAAGAGTAACCTTACGGCGCTGCCCCGGAAAAATCTGGAGTTACAAATCTACCCAAAGTATTTCAGGTGCACTGTGCTGAGCTTCTTCGGATTTATGGATAACTGCCCGTGTGACATGATGTTGATCCGTTGTTCAAACCTCAAACTATCTGACTTTAAATGAAACACTGATTCTGTCTACGTTGGCTGGGTCCCCAATTTGCAACCTGTTTCTAGGATGATCATGGAGAGGTATAGATAGTTCATGACCAGCGTGAGTTCTGGAGCCGCCGTGGTGTAGTGGCTGGCCTGCAGATCGGAAGGTGGTAGGCCCGGGTCCCAACGAAGCCACGTTTTTTTTTGTTTTTGAAAATGATCTTGGCTCTCAGGGTGACACAGCCCTGAGTGGGTACCAGGTATAATCTTGGGAAGTTAAGGCAGCCGGCATGATGCTGACCTCATCATCCACTGAGTGTCAATCGGTCTACAAAATATAGGTCTAGCACTGTATGCCCAATGCATCTGAAGTGGAAAAGGGTCTTTTACTGATCTGAGAGTTGGTGACCTCTAGAAATGTGTCTAGTCTGGCTCCCATCAGGCCACTCCCAATGCATGGGTGAAAACTTCTATTTAAACTCATTTGGAACATGAGTCAAGTCTGCTAGCCAAATTATACTGCCAAATGACAGCTTTGCTGTAAACAGGCACAATGCATTTACATCACTTGGGCAAACAAAAAGAAGAAACCAGCCCTAAATAAAAACGTCTTGGGAAGTAAAGGTGGTTGGCATGATATCAGCCACATCACCTAAGTGCTGACTCGTCTGTAAAAAAATAGTCCAGCATCATATGCCAGATGCGCCACTGGCATAAAAATAGTCCTTGACTTGACTTGACTTGACTTGACTTGACTTGACTTGGCTTGACTTGACTTGAAAAGACTTTATTTTACTTTACTTTACTTTACTTTAATTTACTTGACTTGACTTTACTGACTTACTTAAGGACACTTATCTTAGACACCCTCTTTGAAATCTTCCAGGTAGAGGTGGAAAGAAAAGTTTTTGACAAAGTGGTATCAGAGAAAGTCACAGAACGTATCATCTTACCCCAGCTGTCCCCTTCAAGATCAGTCAGCACAATGACTACCGGTGATTTGGCTGATATAAGCTCATCCTCACTGTCACGGGTCTACAGCTCAGGTTGGTAATACTTCTCTAGCCTGTATTTTTTTTCCCCATTTCAGTTTTTAGTTACTTTATATGTTGTACCATGATGTTGTTTGTGTATACTAGACACACTTAGAAATGGTTGGGGGGGGGGGGGGGGGGGGGGGTTTTGTACATGCACATGTGTTTTTATGTGAGCCAGCAGCACCAGAACCTGGGACAATGTTTACACTCATTGTTTCTCGTTGAGCTTCTTCTTCTCTTCTTCTTCTCTTCCACCTTGTACCTCATCGAAGTGTTGGGGAGAGATGTAATGTTCGTTGATGAGCTCTGTCAAGAGCACTATTAAGACTGATGTTCATTTCTGTAAGGCTGTTTTTAATGCCATCACTCCATATTTTCCCAGGTCTTCCACTTGCTCTATACCCTTTGTAACGTTTTAGTGTGGCTCGCTGTGGCAGATAGTACCAGGGCATTCTTGTTAGGTATCCAAACCCCTTCATTTGTTGGCTGTAGGGCTGTACCGAATATTCGCTTCGTATTCACTTCGGGGCCGAATAGTGGACCTATTGACTATTCGGTATTTGGCCGAATACGAATAGTAGTTACCTTACACCCACTTCTGCAAACATGTCCTTAAAGCTGACAACATGGAACGATTGGTTTTGTTAAAAGGTAATGCAGCTTTCATGCATTAACTAAGCTGTCATTGACAATTTACAAGTTTAGTTACTTGTTATAATACTTAGGATTCTTTCATTCCTCGATATTAGTTACCACAGACTGACTGAAGGATGCAAAACATAAAATGTTTTTAAATGTTTACTATTCTGTACGAATAATAACTAGACATGGAAAGAATATAAACTCCGACCACATCCAAGTCGATAATATGAAAATCAAACCAATGGAAACATATAAGTTCTTGGGTGCAAACTTCAACTGCTCCAACATGCTGAGAGAAGAAATACAATCTAGGATACAATCTAGAAATAAAGTATACTATGGCCCTTCAACATCTGCTAAAGTCAAAGTGTCTGTCTCGCAACACCAAGATCAAAATATATAAAATGTTGATAAGACCAGTCGTTTTTTATGGCTCTGAAACTTAAAGCAAAAATAAAAAAAAGATGAGGCCTTATTACAGGCTTTTGAAAACAGTCTTACGACAAATATTTGGACCCATCAAAGATGCTAACAGCGGGGAATGGAGAGTGAAAAGCAACAACCTAAAACATAATATGTTTAAATCACTATTGGTCACTGGCATCATGAGAGCTAACAGACTAAAATGGTTGGGGCATATTGAAAGAATGACAGAGAAGTAAAAACTGTATACACCTGAGAGAGGAATGGGCGTAGACCACGAGGCAGACAAAAAAAAGAAGTTCGAGAGATAATGTCCAGTCAGATCTGCAAACAACTGGCGTCACAAATTGTGCAGAGAAGGCCAACCAGAGAGATGAATGAGACGAGTGATATCTGCAGCAGTAAACCTCAAGGGCTCATGCTAAAGAAGAAGATGACTATTCTGTGTTACTTTATGTGAAGTAAAAGTTCAGCGTACATTTGACATAATTGAATGGTTTTTTTTTTTTTAGATATATTTTATACACTACACACTATTCGTATCCGTATTCGGCCGAATAGTTGGTCCGGCTATTCGTATTCGGCCACGGCCGAATAGTAAAAATCACTATTCGGCACAGCCCTAAAATATATATATCTATATTAGAGCTGTACCGAATATTCGCTTCGTATTCGCTTCGGGGCCGAATAGTGGACCTAATAACTATTCGGTATTTGGCCGAATAGTTGTGGTGGGGTCAAATACGAATAGTGGTTACCTTACTCCAGTTTCTGCATACACTGTGATGGACTGAAATTACTCTCTCATTAACACAATCGTTGCTGTTGCCTATGTCGTTGCGTCAGAAACTGCGACCCGGTTTCGGTGGTACAAACTGCATAAAATGCCAACCGCAGTGTGAGTGAGTGTGTGTCTGTGTGTGTGAGAGAGAGAGGAGGGGGGGGGGGGGGAAGAGAGAGATCATGCATTTTTTGTTCTTTTAGGGTTTCTTTGCCAAAATCAAATTTGAAGAAAATGAAGGTGCGTTTAAACGTTTAAATTACATCAAACGAACGGCCGAGCGAACGATGGTTTTGAAAGAGACGGGAGTCCGAAGACAACTAATCACAGACATCATTTTTCAGCCATGTTATGAGAAGAGGGAAAATGGAATATTAGGTGACCACTGGAAACATCTGTGGATTCAGCCGAATAGTTCGTCCCACTATTCATATTCGGCCGAATAGTGAAAATCACTATTCAGTACAGCCCTAATATATATATAAAATGTATATGTGTGTGTGTATATATATATATATATATATATATATATATATATATATATATATATATATATATATATATATATATATATATATATATATATATATATATATATATATATATATATATATATATATATATATATATATATATATATATATATATATATGGTTTTTGTCTTATTGTCTATGTTATGTGGGGTTGAATGGAGCTTGACCTTTAACAAAATTTGATCGATCCAGTCTTGAGTGGGCACCAGCTAAAGTCCTAAGAATTTAAGGCAGCCGCGTGATTGTGACCATGCCACCCACTGAGTTCCAATTGGTCTAAAAGATATGGGTCTAGCCCTATGTGCCCAGTGCACCGAAAGCTGTTGAAAAGGGTCCTTTACTTTAGTTTTTTACTTGTGGGGTTGGTCATTATTTCTATCTGCAACCTCCTGTCTTCTGTACTGCCATTAATTTCTGATACAGATGTTGTTCCAACTTATAATAAATAATACATATATTAGTGTCATGTCTACATTGTGCAACTGATCTTATTTTTTTAAAACATGTAAGATGATACACTTTAATACCTTTAATAACGAGCATTGGTACAATATGTTGCACAGCTGATTGCCTTGCATTTTTCACTGTATCTTGTCAAGTGCATTGCAGACCTTACAGCAACATGTTATACAACACAAAACATGAATTGTTTAAACTAAAATACACAGCGTTTTCCATTTTAGATGAAAAAAAAAGAATAAACCCACTGCCTTATCAGGCCTGTCCTAAAAAGGAAACTGATTACGGGTTTGCTGTAAGTGGATGTGTTGGGCTAAAAAGCACAGATACTCCAGCCTAGCTGTAAATTACAACACAGTGTGCCAGCCACTCTTCAAACACAGAAGAAGAAATACACAACAGTAGTAGTGCAACTGGCGAGATACAGTGATATCAGCCAGGCAATAATTTGCGCAATATATTTTGTGTTTCTTCTTTTTTAAATTCACAGCAAGAAAACATTGTTTTAATACTGCTGTATAGGGTGTCCCATAAGTTTCTCTACATAGGAAAAGTCATTAAAAAAAAAAATTGAAAATATCGTTTGTTTTTAATGAAAACCATTTTTATTTATATAATATACTGTACATAACTAGTATTGTTTTGAAAACACATTTTGATGCATGTCCTTCACAGCAAAAGACATGTATAGGCAAAGCTGGAGTTATGCTTGTAGTAGTGTTGGTGATACATCTATTTCTCATATAAAACTTATGTGTTGGTGATAATTCTATTTCTCATATAACTTATGGGACACCCTGTATTGTTGTTGCTAATTAAACATATTTTGTAGGATCAAAGAGTAGCAACCCAAGCATTGATGTGGCTCATTATGATCAGAGTATGCCCACCCCAGCCCAGAGACAACAAAATGTGGAACAGCAAGGTGTGTAATTGTCACTTGATTTGAAGGATAGTTTTAGCAGTCTTTATTGAATTAAATGAATTGATTTTAAAGCAGTTTAAAGCTGTCAGCACCAGATTTCATATGGAGATTTTTACAGCGGAAAATCTTGGAAGAATGCGAGGGAAGACCAAGACAGTGATGGAAAAATTATGTAGCTGAAACCTGCAAAAGGATGAACAAATCCATCACCCATGTGTGACGAGCGTAAGCTTGACCTACAGTGTGACTTGCTGTAAAGGCTGCATGGTGATGTGCGGCGTACGTAAGGTGAATAAGGGTGTCGCAATGTAACAATGGCATCAACACTTAATATGCCACTGGCCAAGTGTAACACAACATGATGAATGTTGAAGCTTCCAAACGTAGCGGAACGAGAACTCTCTTTTAAGGTTCCATTAGTGTATTGACAATAGCAATGATCAACACAAGGAGAAAATATGCAATTAATAATCCAGACTCATTCAAGCACATCAACAAAAGCCCGCTCGTACATCCCTGGACTGATATGTCCTCACGATATGTCGCAGTCCGACCTTGAGATCCAGACAGTAATCTTTGTCTTCGGTTCCGCAGTCTGAATTAAGTAATGAAAGTATACCGGCTTACTGCCGAACTGTGACAATATACCAGCTTTCTGCTGAGGTCTACAGTGGAGTCCCAGGGTAAAATGTCCTCAAGGATCCAACTGTATACAACGTCTGCTTCCGTGAAATCCCGGGGTAAAGCGTCCTCAAGGATCCACACGTCCGTCTCCTTCGGACTGTAAACATCAACTCTTACCGTGGCATCTCGGGGTAAAGCATCCTCAAGGATCCAACTTGTTTATCATTCCTTCCGTGGCATCCCGGGGTAAAGCATGCTCAAGGATCCACACCAAGGCCGGACCAAACGTCCGCCTTGGTCAAACTTCGACTTTCATCTCCTTGAATACAATCCCTTCACAACCTGATGTATTGTTTTGACGTCTTATTTGCTCACTCAGTACTGGTGCGTTCTAGTGCACATCCGCACGCGACACCATGCCACCAGTGAAATTCAAAACAAATACAAAAAAGACCACTCAGAGCTTTATTACCTGCAGTGAGATGACTAAAAAAACTAAAAGAAAAAGATGAAGAATAAGAAGAAGAAGAGGCAAGCTGTTGGCATCTTTGGCTTAGGGATAATGAACACAGTTTATAACTGAAGAAACACCCAGTTTAATAATTCAAGGTGCGGGCAGTTTAGCATCAGACTATGTGTTTATATCGACAGTGGTGTGGAGAGCCGATGATTCAGGAAGCCATGGCAGACTAAGAACATAAAATGATGAGTAAAATCACAACCAACCAACAGATCCTGTGACTGGTTTGCAATTTCCTGTAAATGATGTGCACCTAACTTCAAAGATATTTTCTGTTTTTTTTTTTTCATCATGACTGCTTGCAGTGATTTGTCGGTGCTTGTGACGAAGTCGAGCCCAAAAAGAAAGTGACTTCCTTTGCCGTTCATGCCTTGTAATTATGCAGGGCCTGTCCTGTGTTGCAGGGGTGTCATGTTTAGTCATAACGTACTTGACTTGTTGTCAGTGGCTGCCGATATCGCGTCCTCTATATTCCAAGATGTGAACACTATTAACGGTTCCAGAACATGTAGAACTTGCCCTAAAACCAACCCCCCCTATGCCACAGCCTCAGCATACGTCCCAAGAGAGAGTGCAGCCTATCTCATGACTGCATGCAGCCTATGACAACAGTGAGTAAAATACGATGTGTGGCTGGACGCTCACTGAGCGTGACACCCCCACAACATAGGACAAGCCCAGCGACACTACAAGGCATGAATGGCAAGGAATGTCACTCTCTTTCTGGGTTCGACTTCGCTACTTGAACCGATTTGTCATTAGTTATTAACCATAGTGTTGATTTTTCCTGAGGACTATAGTCAGTTCAAAGGATCTGCTCAGCTATGTTATGACCAACTTCATGAGAACAAGTACAGTGGAACCTCGCTTAACGAGCATAATTCGTTCCAGGATCATACTCTTTAAGCGAAACACTCGTTATGCAAAACATTTTTTCTCATATAAATTAATGTAAAATATGATAATGCATTCCATGTCAAAAAATATACTCACAAAATGCTATGTATAAATGTTTATTAAAAAAAAAAAAATATAAACATGTCGTTAAGGAGAGTGAAACATCTTCATATTTTCTTCAAACGCGGAATGAACCCACATGGAATATGAATTCGAATTGCAGAAAAAAAAAGTCTAAATAATTATGACACATAGCCTATTTTTTTTCCCTAGAAAGATGTCCAGAGACATTTGTTTTTGCAGACGCTTCAAAATTTGGCGAAAATGCTACACAGCATTATCATTAAATAAATTTGCAACGCGCATAGCCACTTCCTTATTAGGGTGATACTTCTCAATGTAAGATGCAACAGTTTGCCATGCTTTCAGCATTTCTCTTATTTCGCCAGAAGATTGTTGCTTTTCTGTTACCTCCTTCTCCTCCTCTGACAAACTTTCCCCCTAAAACTTCTTTCTGTAAAACACAATACAACTCCATAAGCTCTTGGGTGGTCAGCTCTTGGCTGTTCTTTTCCATTAGCTCTTTGATATCACTGTTATCCACCTCCAATCCTATGATAGTGGCCAAAGACACAATCTCATTGACTACAGGTTCCACAGGTACTGTCTCGTACCCCTCAAACTCACAAATCGACAACGCTCTCCTGTCAAACCTTCTTCTAAGTAAAAGTTAGGGTTCTCTTGGTAACCCCTTCCCCCGCCTTGTCGATCATCTTGAGGCAGGCAACGATGTGGAAGTGGTTTTTTCCAAACTCTTTGAGAGTGAGGTTGGTGCCTTCAGGCACCTGAAAACAATACTCGAAGAGTGCTTTAGTGTAGAGCTTCTTAAAGTTAGAAATAACTTGCTGGTCCATGGACTGGAGTAACGGAGTGATTTTCAGAGGCAGAAACTGAATCTTGATGAACTTAAATTCTTCAGAGAGGTCATCTTGTAGGCCTGGAGGATTCATGTACATATATCACAATATAACACAAGTTTGGGAAAATTGTGTGATCACAAGCGACACTGCTATGCTACTGGAACGAGTGCTAAACACAGACTAATGTAACATGCGCACAATTCGGGACTTTCCCTCTCCTCGCCACTCGTTATGCGAAACGTCGCTCGTTAAGCAAGTCATTATTTTTACAATTTGTTTTGCTCGTTATGCGAATTACTCATTATGAGAGGTGCTCGTTAAGCGAGGTTCTACTGTATAAAGCTGTGGGAATAAAAAAATAAAAACACATGCAGTAAAGAAATATGATATGAAATTAGGTAAAATATATTCATTTAAATCATAATATATCAATCACTTATTATGATTTTCTTACAGATAACAGACAGCAGCAAGAGGATGAATGCCGACATAATGCAGACTTGCCAGGAGCTAGTGCAATTGCTATCCTGATGCCAGTAGTTCAACCAAAAAGGCATAGTGCAAGTTCATCCACAGGCAAGGACCTCTTCAGTACCCCAGACCAGTCTATAATAGACCGTGCTGACAGTGACATTGGTAAAGTGGTCTCCAGTTCCAACAGTACCCCATGTTCTCACAGTTTTATTAGCCCAAGCACAGCCATAAGAAAGCCAGATCATGAAGGCAGAACTAAGATTATCACACCCACAAGTACCAGAAGTAAAGGAGCGTTAACTCATGGCATGTCCACATCTACTCGTCTTCCCACTGATGGTGATGTAAGCTTACCTGTATCTACCATAGTGCTTGATCCGCCAGAACAAGCAGGTGGTAATAAAGGTGCTCCTGTTGTTTATGGTCAGAACACACCAGTGGAAAAGGTAATTTATGGTCTTAGACATAGAGAAACACCTGGAACACAAGATAATCACAATATAAGAGGAAAACGGACAGTCAAATCAGACAGTCGTGGTGAGGAGCAGTCAGCGGAAGATTCAAAATCATCAAAGTTTGTCAGTAAGAAACGAAAAATTTCAGGTGCTGAGACTAGCAAGACAACACCTCAACAGCAGAAACTAAAAACACATGCAGAAGTATCCAGAGAAGATGTGGGAGAGTTGACAGATGTTCAGAGCACGGGTTTCAGTGTGCATGGAGGTCAGCCATCGGCGAGCGGTGGTTCTCTGAAGGATCCTGTTCTAACTGGTATGTAATGTTTGTTTGTGTGAAGTCTGTCTTTCAGTACCCAGAAGCTCAGTATGCATTCATTGGTTTTATTCTATTGTCTTCTTCACTTTTACCGGGTTGTAGCCCAGCGTCGTGGTTTAAAATATTTGTTTTGAGCCTCTTGCGTGATTTGAGTGACAGTTTTCTGGATCTTCTGGCCGTATTCAGCTACTCCATCTATCCATTTTTTCCTGGGTCTTCCTCTGGCCTTTCTTCCCGATGTTCTACTGTAAAAGGCCTTATAGGCAATCTGATCCGGTTGCATTCTTACTAAATGGCCAAACCACTTCATTCTCTGTCTTTCAATATGTTTCATGCATGCTCTTGTTCCAACTTTGTCTCTAATGCTGTCGTTTGTGACTCTGTCTCTTCGTGCATTGTTGGTGACTCTTCGGAGACATCGCATTTCACATGTAGTTATTTTTTGCATGTGTGATTTGTTCATTGTCCACGTTTGGCACTGATAACATAACGTAGGGATGAAAATGCTGTTGATCATCCGTTGTTTGGCTGGTAACGAGATCTTTGGATGACGAAGAAGTGGGGCCAGTTGGTAGTTGACTGCATTGGCTTTTTGAACTCTAGCCTGTATCTCTTTATCGAGTCTTCCATCTTCTGTAAATATGCATCCTAAGTACTTGAATTCTTGCACTTGTTCTAATTGTATGTCATTGATCTTTATGTTTACATTATTGTGTTTCTTTCCTATGGTCATTACTTAAGTTTTTGAGGTGTTTATTTTCATGTCAAATTTTGTACAGTTAGTGAGCAATGAATCAACATGTTGTTGTAGTTTATTCATTGGTTATTCTTTGTAAAATATACATTTCTTCACTTTTCTTATCCCATTCTTCTTTTATGCTGACCTCTCGTATTTCAGTTATTGCTATGACCCCTTCTGTCCCAAAGCTGTCCCACAACCTCTGTCACTGAGGCTTATGGAAAAATTTGACATCAATGTGGTTTTTTAAGAAGTTATTTCGTTTACAGGAAAACCCCTGTAATGCTATTGTTAGTTAATATATTCATATCCAAGCCTCTGAACACAGTACAGATGCACACAAAGACCAATGACATTTAACTAGCTTTTTGAGAACAGGTGATTGCAGAATTGTCAGTAACTGTATTTATGGAACTGAGTCATAACCAGGAATAATTAGATCTAGTCGTCCTTAGATAAAAGTTTATGAAACTGCTGACTGTAAATTTTTTTCTGTCGGTAATGACACATGAAATCAAAGGCTTTTGAAATGCTCTACTACGTTTCTGAGACTTAATTTTCTTGTTTCTTGTCATTCATTTATTTTTCTGCTTTATGTCATTTATTTCTTGACAATTTTTGTTTTTGTAGCAGTTTAGTTTAAAAAATTTTTTAAAATATAAACAAAGCTAGCCAATTTTCAGTAGTTATTAGCTCAGCATCTCTTGTTTGTTCAGAAATCATCATTCATAGCATCATGCTGCAATTAAATGTTTTTTAAAAATTCTGTTCTCCTTGGCATTTTATTGAAATTACGAGTTAATTTGGTAATGTTTGTTTTACACAGTGTCATATTTAGTAATTATACACAGTAATTGTGAGTCTGTCTGAATCTATGCAGAATCCATGCAGAATGTAATAGAGTGTTTAGCTATGATTGGTTTTTTTGTTTGTTATAGAGAACTGTAATATAATCTTAGGCATGAATATCTGGATAGATCCCACATTGTTTTAAAACATGTACCTACATTATCTGTATCTTTTTTTATTTTTTTTATTTCTCCCAGTTTCATCAAAGTCCAGTGCTGGTTTCAGTTACAGGTATGAGAATGTCTGGAAATGTTTGAAGCTGACAGTATACAAGAAAACAGATATCATTCTTCATTTTCAATTGATGAAACAAAACTAAATCATAAAGATGGAATAGGCTAAAAGTTGTTTAAATAATCACACACACAATATACCATCACATCATCCTTTTGTGCTGTAATAGGTCACATAGGGCTTACAGTCTGTTCTTCCATTCCTTTCAGTATATTTTACAATTTATTGTATGGCGTATTTTGCTATATATTATCAGATGCATACTACAGAATAGACATCAACATTTTTTGAAACTCCAGAAATAAATCCTTTCAGTTGAAATATGCAAAGCACAGAATATCGCCATGGAAGTCTCAGACTAACCACTTGTCTGCATGAAATGAGTTTACCCAGGTATATTCCAATTGACCTGCATATTTGACCAAATTACTGAATGGATTTAAAGAGGGTATTTATTTAGGAAGCTGTTAATTGGACAGATGTTTTATGCCAGTAATGTGGCTTGAAGTACAGAGGTCTTCTAATGTTCTGTTGAGTTGTTGGAGTATGCATGGAGTTACGCATTATGTAAACACCTTCCATCAACAATCAAATGTTATTAGTTCTATAACAAGTATGGGGTAAGCACAGTTTACAATATATCCACTGGAAAAAGCAGCCTCTAATTACTTTTCACTTTGTTTTGCCTGAAGTACAAGCTGTCTACACTGCTGCAAGGCAGAAATGGACCAAAACAAAGAACTGGCTAATGCCCACAGTTTGTTTGTGCAAAGAATTAAACTAGTCATCTACTTCATGATGTATTTATTGATCTAGTCCATTATAATTCTATATAATTGAACTTCTCTGTGGCAGTGTATGGTAGGGTTGATTTGTAACTTGCAGTTTAAACACCATTTGAATTTAATTTAGTTTCAAAAGAATTTGTTGTCTTTGTCCAAGAAGACCAACGATATGGTTGAGAGATAATATACAAGCAGACCTGCCAAACTTGGAGTCACCAGCTGGAGACAACCAATCAGAGAAGTGATGGAGGCGGGTAATATCTGCAGCAGTGAACCTCAAGGGCTCAGAATGCTGATGAATTAAGAATTGAATGATGACATTTAAAATGCATTTTTTTGTATTATTAGCTCCATTTTAGCTGAAATGTATCAGCTGATGAAATAACTTATATAAGTTTCTGGTATTCAAAAAAATTTACAATCACAGTCCAGAAATATCATTACAAGGTGGACTGAGACAAGCTGGGGCAAACATGGTGGTTCTTAATGAGTACAGAAGCAAAGCAGTTCAAGGTAAGTTAAGTGTTTTGAGTCAAATTTGTCTGTATGTTAAATGAATAATTTTTGCTATATTGTCCTTTTAATAGTAAGTTTTGATAACCACTGCTGTCCAGTTAAAAAGTGAGATCTTTCTGACAAAATCTAAGAAAAGGGATTGGATTACAAAAACAGCTGATAATCCACATCAGAACAAAATAATGATGGTATTTTAAAATTTTTAAAATCAGACTGTGATAAAGAAAGTCTGGAGCAGATTGGGGAGATTAAGAGAGAGAGAGAGAGAGAGAGAGAGAGAGAGAGAGAGAGAGAGAGAGAGAGAGAGAGAGAGAGAGAGAGGGAGGGAGGGAGAGAGAGAGAGAGAGAGAGAGAGAGAGAGAGAGAGAGAGAGAGAGAGAGAGAGGAGTTATCAGGTTAAAATGATTGAGAGCACAGAGAAGAGATGTTGGTAGAGGACCATAATCTACCATCCCACTTGGCTTGGTATATGATGATGATGATAAATGAAAGAACATTTAGCTGTGAGCATGTAAATCATGTGCTATTCAGCCATACCTTTCATATTGCTGATATTGTAAATGCTTTGCAAATGGAATAAAGTCATTCTTTGGTAAAACTTTTAATGTTATATAAAGATTAACAATTTGAAACCTCAGGCTAACTTGACTATCAAAAAAAAAAAAAAAAAAAATTACTGACTGGAAAAGTCAAACAAACTAATAGTTTCCTGTGGATAATGTTTTAAATGTGTGTTTTGCACAGTGATGTGTTTCAGTTCCTCTCAAGATGAAAATATTAAAGAAATTTGGCTCAGCTTCAATGACCACACAACTGAATAAGTAGCAGGAAATAAATATTCTGAGAATCTCTGATACTAACACAGTTGTATAACATGGGAGTAAAGCATGTCTATGCTGCCTTCGAGGTCCAGATAGAAGACATTATAACCAACTTCTCTCGGGAACAATTAGTAGAAGTACCTTGGAGTGGCTGCTGCATCGTAAGACTGAGCATGCATGGGAATGCCCAGTGTGTAGTGACATCAGCTGTGATAATGTAACATAAAGTTCTGAAGAATAAAGATGGACTGCATGATATTGATCACATCACTCATCTAGTGCCAGTTGGTCTTTAACCTTACCGACCCAAGAAGCCGAAAAACACACACTTCCAGTTGAGACAAATTCCTAGTAAATGTCACTTTTCTGACATGTCTATAGTGACCTATTTAGGAAGGCATGTTCTTTGATTCTTTGAACTAGATGGCTTTTAAAAATATTATTTTGTAAGCCTCAGTGATAGGTGTTGCAGGGTCACAGTGCTTTTTTTAAGGTCCTGGAAAAAAAAAGGGAGGGGCGGGAATGTATTCCATTTAGTGCTTCACCCTGTTAGTGTTTACTGATTACTGCTTCCATATATCTTTATATGTTTCAAATTTTTTTTTCTGTTTCGATAAACAACATATTTTTATGAATTTATTAGTGACCTATGTAAACATTCTTGTTTTCACAGATTCTAACTGGGCCATGGCCTATTTTTTTTTTAGTGTTCTTGGCGTGAAAGGGTTAACATATATGGCTGGCACAAATAATACAATATATCTTAAAGCCTGTACAATTTTCCTTAAGGTTTTAATTATAGTATTATTAAAATTAGCAATGTAGGTTAAGTGATTACTACTACTAAAGGAAGTATGTTCTGCCATAAATAACAATTTTGATGAGTAGATTATTGAAGAGTTTTATTAATACATAATGTGAATGCTGTGAAAACATTTACTATGTTCTGTAGGTGCCAAAGTAATGGGCAAATGGAAAGACGGTTATTACTACCCTGGCGTTTTAAGTAAAGTGGACCACAGCAGTAAAAAGTAAGACATTCTCATAAGAAATGAACAGACACTTATATGCTTTTTTTTTTAAACAACACATAAAATCTTTGTCTTTAGAATAATATTATATCCACCTTTTGATGTATCTAAATACAGTATATTGTTTATGCCTGGTATGCAGACAAAAGGACACATATGTCAGCTTGATTTTATCATGCTAATACAGACAGTGAGTGACATTTAAATGTTGTGTTTGTTTCTATTTCAGTTGCAGCGATTCATATACTTGCTTCACCTTGTTAATTTCTATAGAGTAATAACACTGCACCCCAATGGACGCAGTTTGTTGTTGTTTTGAAGCCCCATCATGACTGTTACCGGGGATCCTAATATATCCCAACCTATGGGGTTTCTGGGACCTATTCCTTGGTGATCCTCATCAAAATGGTGGCACTTCGGTGGGATGTGTCCTGGTGGGGTTGAACGTCAGTCAGTCAGTCAGTCAGTTTCTATAGTATGCAGTTACTCGGATACATTAAAATATGCTTTCATAGGTAGAGATCCTTTCATAGGTAGAGATCCTTTCATATGTAGAGATCCTTTCATAGGTAGAGATCCTTTCATAGGTAGAGATCCTTTCATAGGTAGAGATCCTTTCATAGGTAGACATTCAAGAGGTCTTTTAGTAGACAGACATTCTAAAGATCCTTTGATAGGTAGACATTCTGGAGATTTATGAGTAGGTAGGCATTCTAGGAATCCTTTGGTATCTAGATGTTCTAGAGATTCCTTGACAGGTAGTAATTCTAGAAATCCTTTAACAGGTAGAAATTCTAGAGATACCTTGATAGATATAGTGGATATATACCTCAGTGGAATAAGCGCATGACCAGAGATTGCTGAAGACACTAACTAAAGGTAGTCATATAGCTGTTGTTGGTATTTGAAAGTGTTCAAATATTTTAGGCTTTTATATATGAGGTGGGCTGGCTAGTTTCCTTTCTCATTGCTTTTTTCTCCCAAGAAATTTCAGTGTAAGACTGACTTTCTTGGAAATTGATATTTATTGCAGGTACATGATACAGTTTGATGATGGCTCTCAGCGCTTAGTCAAACCAAATGAAATCATCTTAGCTGCCGAGCTTCCTGTTGGTCAGAGTGTCATGGTGCTGGCCAATAATGATTTCTATGAACCTGGTATGGTCATGGGTCACAGTGAAGCACAGTCAGAGGTTGGACCTGCAAATTTTGTTTATCATGTTGAGAGGGATGATGGCATCACTCAGGTGTAAGTTTAGTATCGTCTTTCTGTTGTAGTTTCTGATTACAAATCACAGAGTAGCTGCTGTTTGAACAGATAAGAATGCTTTGCACTCATTTGGGGGACCCACCTTTAAAGACCCGGTAAGATTCTTTAATTTTTCCCCGTAAATAAAATCTTAAAGTGCACAGTCTGTGGCGACTGCACTAGCTGTGTGACCCTAAATCCTTAGGCTCAAAGACCCCCTCTGCCTACACTGGAAAAGTGGTAAAATATCGGCAGTTATGGCAGTTTTGTAAAATACAAACAACCAGTAAAGAGTTAAACCACACATGAGTGCCTCTGGGCAAAGATTAGTAGCAGTGTGCCATATGAGAGTTGACAAAGAGTAGGGTTGAATTTGGAGTTGGTTGCCCCAACCCACAGTAAACTTCAGTCATAAAAGCTAAGCAGCTATAAACAGACCTAAAAGGGCTTGGAGAAAGTTTGCTCCATAGAGGGATGAAGAGCAGAAGAAGAAGAAGAAGATAAAGTGAATTAGAGATCTTGGAAAGTAAAAGTAGGAAATGTTACACAGGAAATGTTACACTGGCATGTTAATCTTTGCTTACTGAAAATATAAACCTGGCACCACCTGTCTAATATGCCATATGACATGTAGTTTGGATCTTAATCTTTAGCTGGTCTGTAGCAGACATTAGTAATCATGCTTCTTAATCTTCTTAGTCGTCTGATATTTCAAATTGAATGTTGCTTATATTATTGTTTGTTACCAGATTGCATATGTTTTTTAAATATAAATTTTCTCTGAATATCTTACCAAATAAAACTAAATTTTTTACCGGAACTTTTCATTTGATGTGTACAATAGATTTGATCTTTTTCTTAAGGTTATAACACTTAGAACTGCCATAACCTCTGTGTGTTTTTGTCTGTGAAAATGATATTCCTAATATTATTTAAAAAAAAAAACCTTCACCATCTCTACAGTTTCCTCACCATTTCATTACTCATTAGTCAGCATCCACATCAGGACAAACATGTGAGCTGAGTGTATCTACAAGCAATTGCAGCTATACATTTTGACCAAAAACAAAGCTGTGTTGAATATTGAGTTCATGAGCATTCATACTGGGAAGTAAAAATAGCCAGCTAAATACTGATCGCAAAATGCACATATATATATATATATAGAGAGAGAGAGAGAGAGAGAGAGAGAGAGAGAGAGAGAGAGAGGGAGGGAGGGAGGGAGAGGAGAGGAGAGGGAGAGAGAGAGAGAGAGGAAGGGAGGGAGGAAGAGAGAGAGAGAGAGAGAGAGAGAGAGAGAGAGAGAGAGAGAGAGAGAGAGACTGTCCAATACTCGAATCATAGAAATTTATCCTTTAATTCACTTTATTTTACTAACTATATAATTTTATTTTTAAATGCATTACAGTTGCGAGAGGAAAAATCTGATTTTAAGCGAGGGCCAGGCTGCCTGTCTTCTCAGCGACGAAGAAATGAGAATCAGCCCTGATGTTTGTACTCCTTCGACCAGCAAACCTGGGGATATCTCTCTGGGTAGGTGCCCACAATACTTTGGCAGGTTTTGGTCTAATGGAATGTCTACTTAGACATAGACTCATTAATAGCATAAACTCAGTGGAGGTAAAAAAAAAAAAAAATTTTTCATGATTTTACATCAGTGTAGTTTTACAGATATACAGCTTTAAGACAGAGGGCTTCAGTAATGGTTTTACATCCTTATTGTTGTTCTATCTCAGTAAGTTGAGTTGAGTTGAGTCAAGAATTGACACAGCACTTGTGTGCTCTGTCCTCTTCTTCAGTTCCAATACTGATGGTACCGGTCACAATCTGGTTATATGTCCGCTTTGCCTTTCCTCTGAGTGAGGTGAGTTGGCCAGACCCTCTGGTTACACCCAGGTGACTCATTCTCTCCAGGCCATAATAATTTTGTTTCTCTACTGATTCCGTTGCTTGTTCTTAAAACGCCTTAAACACATCTGCCTTGTCATGTATCAATTCACCACCCTGTCATGCAGATCCAGCCAATCTGTCTGTTCATTTTAGTAAAGGCCTGCTTAATGGGGTTATTAATTTGTTGTCTCAGAGACTGCAGCATGTAGGTTGAATGTTAGTTTAGAAGAGTCTATACACTTCGTAGTCATTAATTTATCTCAGTAAACATATCCCTTTCATGCTATGAGACACTGAGTATATGGTATTGTCTCAGAGACCTTGGATAATTTATATGCTAATGTTTTCTTAAGTAGTCTGTGAGCAGAAATCTGCTTTTCTATCATTAGTGTATATATTGATTTCTTGTGTTTAAAAAACCCCACAGATAATTTAGTGGAAGGTAAAAGACATCTAAAGTCTAAATCAGTCAAGGCGGTGTCCGACAAAGAGGATCAGCCATCAGTTTCTGGTGCACAGTTGACTTCTGTAGCAGCACCATCCAGCGCCATTGAAGGTGAAAACTGTCAGAGTGGGAGAAAGCGTAAAGAGGGACCAGTTGCAACTAGCACACCTACTGTTAAACAAATCTGCAAGGAAGGCAAGAAGAAAGGTAGCTATGACTCTTGTTATATTGTCTGCCATTTTCAGTGTTTCTAGAAAAGGATATTTGTTGTTTTACATATGTTTACAACAAAGCCTCCATATTTTTATCTTTCGGCTAGCATATCTATGTTCAGCTGTGTTTTCCAAATTTGTTTAAAGGAAGTGATAAATACTCTCTCTCTCTCTCTCTCTCTCTCTCTCTCTCTCTCTCTCTCTCTCTCTCTCTCTCTCTCTCTCTCTCTCTCTCTCTCTCTCTCTCTCTCTGTGAGTTGGGGGGGAGCGGGGGGAGGGGGGGGGGGGGTTTTTGTGGAAGCTTGTTTGTTTTTTTAATTTTGACAATTTACCAGGTTGGTGGTCATTAGAGTCTGTTAATGATTTCCAACTGTGTAATGATTTTTTTATCCTTAAATATATAGTTTCACCTACTTGGTCATTCTACTGCACTAGCTCCAAAATTATTGTATGCAAATCAGTAAGCGCAAGCCTATTATTATTTACGGTTATTTTCCAGGAGCCCAAGAGAAGGTGCTTGATGACTTTAAATGGGGTACCTAATGTGTTGAGCATATAAAAAAAAAAAACCCAACCATTCAGCTGAAACTCCGCAGAATACGAGGTCCCTATAGATAACTTCTCACATTGAACTGAAAAATTATGTTTCAAAACCAGTTTACAGGAGTTTTGGCCACATAAACAAGATAAATTCAAAATCTTTTCAGTTTTGCTGCCTTTCTCAACAACATGTGGATTCCCCACTTACACAGCCACCAGAAACAAAATACAGAAGCCACTTAAGTGTAGATCTACACACTCCCTGAAGTTGTCATCTGTTGAACCAGAAAACAGAAAACTGCAAAAAAAAAAAAAAAAAAAAAAAAAAGTTTCTATTAACACAATATACATTATTTTATGGACCCTGTGGCTGTCACTAGCAATGTAAAATCTGTTGTAACACAAATAAAATATGTTGTAATACAAAGGGTTCGATTTATTTTTATACTTTTGAAGAACTTTTTGGTTTGGCCAAGCTAGAAAATACTATGTCTATTGGTGGTAGTTTGGAATAAATTGTATTGGTAAATTTGAAATTTCAAAAATGTAATTTCATTGTATGGACATTGCACAGTTGTTAATATGACTCTTTACATTCCTTTACTAACTGCCCCCTTTTCTTCCACTCATTAAATATTTGTATGCTTTAAACACCATTAATTTGTAAGACAGGGTATGACAGGCCTAAGGGGCAGCACCATATAAATTGTTCTGGATTCAAATCCCCAGTAAGATAATGAAATATTTTTTTCTATTGAAGTTAAAAAAAATCTTCATATGTCTTGATGACTGCACCAGCCATCGAGCCCTAAATCCTCAGGTTAAAGACCTCACACCACCTACCTCTGTCTACACGCCCTAAAAAGTGGTGATTACTGACAGCAAAAATTATTAAACTGCGTTTATAAATAAACTTTCTTTGTCCCTCTCTACTCTGATGTGTGCAGTTTATTGAATTTTTGTCTGCCAGGTACACCAGTGAAAAATCCAGTTCCCCATTCTTTAGGCGGGGCTGTGGCATCTCCACACGATCCTAAAAAAGTGCAACAAAAAGCTCGGACAGGTTAGTTTTCAAAGTATCTGTAGCATGTACAACAGCAGGGTTAGTTCATTTGTGCAGCAATCTGTCTATGGTAGTTTATTTGTGAAATAATGTATAGCTTTCATAAGAAGAGAAAACTGGAGTACCTCATGACAGCTGGACATTTAAAGGCACAGAGAGCTGCAGAGAGACCAAGAGAGATCTTCAACAGTTTGGCGTCATGGCATTAAAGAATGTCTTTATACAAAATAATTGGCAGTCCACATGACAGATGGCTGGGGACTACATGATTGCCAGCGCCTCATGGCAAAGACTCTAAGAGCAATTTTGTAATGTCAAGCAGCCTAGCACAGTCATATTACTTGTCTGAACATCTTCTTGTTAGCAACCACCAGCTCTAATTACAGGTAAAAAGTTCTGGTTTTTCATCCACTTCTAGACTTTGGTCATGTTCCAGAACTTGAGTTTTGTGTGCACACCCATTTTACAAATCTGGCTTTTTTTAAATGCAGACTGTTGGTTTCTCTCCTTTGGGTTAAATGCACTGTGACTTTGAAGGAAACACCCCTTATTAGTCACCTCCTGCAACACGCTTGTTGTGAGGTGGGGGGGGGGGGGGCTATTCTTTACCCGATCTCCCACTGCTAGAATGGGACCCTGAAATCCAGATGAAGTGTAAGAACATGTTGAAGCTCTTTATTAACTTTTATTTTGACTGCTTAAAAGTCTTTTAGGCTCAGTAAAACTTTTGTTGTGCAATTTAATTTTCAATAAGATAAAATTAATTTTTTTGCATCAATGTGATTATTAGAGCTTTGGGAGAGAACTAAAACAAACTAAAGTTAATCAAAAGGTGAGGAAAACTTGCTGCAGTTGCACATACCGTATTGAGAAAATCTCATAAGAATATAACTATAATGTACTTGTTGAACCAACAAGGTCAGTTAAAAAAAGGCAGATTAAAAAAAAAAATAACTTATGGGGAAGGGAGTGTTAAGTGAAAAAGATCGGGAAGACATTCATAGCAATGGATAGGATGACTTAGCTTGAGTTGATTGAGGGCCTTTGCTCCATTTTGGGATAAAGGTCAGAAGATCATTAGTGATTAGGTTGTACTTTTTTTGTTTATACCATGAGATTATTTAATTTACAGTCCTTTAGGCAAAAGTTTGTATTTTAAAATTTTTTTATCATTATTGTATTTTTTTTTCAAACTAGGTCTGCTATTTGAAACTTCACTGAAAAAATCCAAACTGTTTGAAGGGATGACCTTTATATTGACCCACGTTGAAAAATCTGCTGAGGACAGACGGCAGGAGAAATTACTTCTAGAAGATTCTTCTTTTGAAACTTCCACTGACAACAACACAGATGTTGGTTAGTCTTTGTTTTCTGTCTCTGTGTTTATTTTAATCTTACTGGAGTGGGTGGCTGTGTTTGGAGCTTAAATTTGTTGCGTTTGTAGTTATTGATTGTTATTTCACAACAAGGTGAAAGGTTGCTGTCTGGCAGAAAAAAAAAGCCATATTGCATTCCTCATGTGGATTCCAGGTCCCTGTTATATGGGAAATTCAAGAATAGACCCACTGACTCCCTAACAAGCAAGTCATAAGAGTCACATGGTTAGGGGTCTCCTTTGAAGTCAGAGTGCATCTGCCTGAGAAGCAAGGAACCAACAGTCTGCATACAAAGAAAGCAGATCTGATAAATGGATGAGCATGCAAAATACAAGTTCAGGAACAAGAATAAAGTCTAGAAGCAGACGAACGACCAGACCTTTCTGCCAGAGTTTATAGCCACTGAACGGGAAGAAGATGAAGAAGATAAGAGATCTAGTAATCTGGTAATTCTAGTTTCAGCTTCATAGCAAATGGGTCACCCCATAGTTGCTCCGCTCCTGTGCCAACGAAAAACACACGTAGCTCACAGTGTCACGCTATGCACTCAACTTAGAAGCTGGGCGACGAAACTATATCCTTCCAGTTTACAAATGGAGCAAAAATGCAACGGCCACAGTCTGGCAGAAAAAAAAAAAATTTGCCCCTGCTAAAGAAAAAAAAAAAAGGTGGCCGTGCCTAGCATCCATTTTGACCTGAAGCATTATATGAGGGTTAATAAACACCTTGAACTTGGGTTTTGGACTGCCGACTCCCTACAAGGTGTTATTTTATGTTTTGTTATCACAATAGATGTCACTGCACATTGGGCATTCCCATGCGTGCTCAGTTCTCCGAAGCAGCAGTCACTCCAAAGTACTTCTACTAATTGTCCCCATGAGAAGCTGGTTATATTGTCTCCTTTCTCGGCCCGAAGACGGCAAAGACGTGCATCACGATGCTTTACTCTCATGTCACGCAATTGTGTTAGTGTCAGGTATTCCTCATTCTCCACTAGCCCAGTTCGTACAGTTGACGATATCTGCTCTGTCCATGCTTTTTCCTGCAATCATTAGTGTAGTGCTTGCCAGTTGGTCCGCTCGCTCATTTCCCTTCACGCCCACATGACCCGGTGTAGATCCAGGTTACGGAGGTTAAGTGCGATTTCCGAATGCTTTCTATCCATTCTGAGCGCTTACTGCCTGTTTCTATCTTCTGAAGCATATTCATTGAGTCTGAGACAATTACTGCCTGTGTGGCGGTTTGCTCTGAGACCCATGCTAAAGCTCTAGAAGCAGCGGCTATTTCCATCGTCATGCTTAGGGAAGCGCCGATGGTCCTCATGTATTGTTTTCCCCCTTCTTTGCGCTGTGTATGCCCATGCTGACTTTGATCCGCGCTTCACAGATCCATCTGTGTAGATGATGATATCTTCTGAGTCTGAATGCTGGTCTATCAGTTCCCTTACTTCTGTGTCTACGGCCGCAGGAATTTGATCCCTGCAGTACTTTCCGAGTAGAAGATAAGAGAACAGATATGTGGGCTGTGTGTGCAAACTACATGTCCTGTAAGAATGTCCCTTGTACAGCCCATTAAGGAGAGAATACTGGCCCACTGAGTCAGCACTGTACTCAAAGTTATATGGTACTAAAAGAGAACTCATTAAAAATAGTCAAGTTTAGCACAGGAACCTGTCAGTTGGAGTAAATCAGAAAGCAGTCACAAGAAGAAGAAGAAGAAGAAAAAGAAGGCAGAACAGACCAGTTGCTGACTAAGCTGATCATTTTCACAATTATTTTGTTGAATATAGATGTTAAATTATTCAGTGTTTTTTTGTTGTTGTTACAATGGATCTTGTATATATCCTGTATTTTTCTTTTCTTTTTCTGTATTACTGTGGAGAGTAACATTTATAAAAAAAACTGTACTTGAAACATTTCTCCCAGAATGTGACACTTCACCATTTATGAAAGAACACCTTCAGCTTATTATTGAGAATGGTGGAGGACAGGTGATACATTCCATTAGCGATGCCATGGTAAGTACCAACAGTTGTGTCTTGAAATAGCTGAATTTTTACTGTTTTATTTTACACTACAACTATGAATTATATACAGGGTCTGCTCGACTTATGACTCAGTTCTCATCTGACTAACAGGTCGTAAGTACTATTTTCCTTCAAACGGGTTATTAAAATTGTACAAAAACAAACAAATACAATCTTTATACATATAATTATTGTCATCGTCATCATCAGGTGCCTTGCCGACTGATATGGGCGATCATGCCTCTCCACAATCTGCAATCTCCTGCAGCATGTATCATTTCATGTGCTGACACACCTCCATGCCATGCAACAAGACTGCCAAGAATCTTCTCTTGTTGTCTTCCTCTATCCCTCTTTCCACAGATCTTTCCAGTGGTCACAACATGTTCTATTTTCCCTCTTCTCATAACATGGCCGAAAAAAATATGAATGTCTCCTTCTGATGTATGTGATAAGTTGTCTTCGGGCTGTCGCCTCTTTCAAAACCTCTTGTTTGCTCTTTTCTGCTGCCCAAGGTATTAAAAGCATTCTTCTGTAAAACCACATCTCTGAGGCCTCAAGAAATTGTTTGGCCAATTATTGTACATAATGTAAAAAATGTGTGATACATACTCAGTTCTAGGAACGTTTTGACCCCATCATTGTTATTATCTTTCTTTATTTACCTTTTTTTAAAATGTTTTGTGTGGCCACAAGTATGGATGGTCGTGAGTCACGGAGAAGGTGTATTCACAAAGATTGATTTTATAAGAGATTTGCAGATTGTTTGATGCTGCTGATGTCTTGTCTAGCAGGTTGAATGTATCAGGGATTCTCAGATTTATTAAAGCTGATATTGTCTGTTTCATAGAAAATGTATTATATCAGTAGTTTCCAAACCTTTTGTACTGCAGTTCTCTTGTCTACCAGATTGATTGTGATTTATCAGTGATTCTAAGAACTTTTAGTGCTGCTGTCCTGTCTTGCAAATGGATTATATTCGTGTTTCTAAGATCTTTTTATGCTGCTGTTGTCTTATCTTGCTGATTGATTCTATTTTTGTTTCTATGATCTTTTGTGCTGCTGTTGTCTTGTCTTGAAGATGGATTATTTTAGTGATTCTAAGATTTGTGTGTGCTGCTGTTCTCTTGCCTGACCTAACTAACCTAACCTGACGTAAAATTATTTGACCTAACATATGCTAATGTAATTTAACCTACTGTATTTGTCAGTGTATAAGACGCTTCCTTGTATAAGGTGCACCTCCAGAAATTTAAGAAAATTTTGCAGAAAAATATTCAGATTTAATTCTTGCAGCTATTTCAGTACATAAGTCTATAATTCTGACCATTTTACATTTTTTTTTTCACATTATGCATGCTTTCCTGTTTTTTATTTTGCACAAAACATACTGTCGAGACAGCCAAAGCCATATTTTTTTTCTGTCAGTGGATGTTCGAAAGGGCGTTCTTCTGATCTGTTGCTGTGTTCTTCAGTAAATTTTATTACCCGGAGTTAAACACTTGTGGTGTAGGAATGATGATTACTATTTCTGTCCGTATTGCAGGCAACTTTAACTGTACCTGAAGGCCTATTTTCATTGCATAAGCCACTGTCCAATTTTAAGGCCAATTTTCAAATACTGTAGTCTTATTTACTATTCATGACTTGACCTAACCTGAACTGATCTGAACTTATCAAATATATTTCACACAACTACAGCCAGGCAAGCACTGCTACTTGGTGGCAGCAGAATATCAAAGAACCGTGAAATATCTTCAAGCCCTGGCAGCTGGGATAACCATTGTGTCTCATCAGTGGATTCTACATTCTGTAGCAGAGGTAATATCAGTTGCTTGTTGTGAACTTGATCATCACATAAACTGGCTTATGAGACAGCCTTTGAAAACCATTGCGTGACAGACTGGCAAACAGAACCAACTCACTCACTGATGGATGAGTAAAATCACCCATTCACTAACAGACTGATAGAAGCACCCATCACTGATAGACACAAAATCATCCACTAATGACTAATGGACAAACAGAACCTGGCCATTCATTGTTCGATGGACAAAATCACCCACTTATCTTGACAGACATTACTTTCCAACCCAATATTGACCAACAGACATAACCCACCCACTCTTTGATGGACAGACATACTTTCCAACCCAGTATTGACCAACAGACATAACCCACCCACTCATTGATGGACAGACAGACTTTCCACCCACTCATTGATGGACAGACAAAAATCACTCACTGATTGACTAATAGACAGACCAAACCCATCCATTCATTAATGGACAGATAAAAATCAACCACTCATTGACTAACATACAAACATAAGCACCCCACCCATCTTGACTAACAGACAGAATCCACCCATGCACTGACAGGCAGACCCCAACCGCTCAGTGACAGACGGAAGCCATCCACTAAGAGACATGTATAATCCACTTACCCACGTTCAGACAGTTTGCTAGTCACTGTATTACGGCTGCTTCCTAATTACTGTATGAAAGTCCTTAAATCTCTACACATTTGTTGACAGCTTTCAAAATGAAATCTTTTTCTTTTAGTCCACGCCGTGTGGCATTAGTAGTCATGTCTATCCACAACCTTCTTTCTGTCTCATCTGATTTCAGTCAACTCTGACATAGATAAATTTCCATATCATGATAAAACTATCCAGCATCTTCCCACACTATCTCCCTGTGCCTCTCTTCCCCTCCAACTTTCCCACTGTCCTGAGGTACTCCAGTTTTCCTTCCTACGATAAGGTAAACAAATTTAGATTGTCTCTTTTCCATGTGGGCAATCAGTTCTCTTCATGAGTCGGTTTCTTCCAAAACATCTTCATTACTCTATTTATCTGTCCAGGGTATTGTCATTATTCGTCTTTAAAACCACATTTCTGCAGCTTTCAGATAATTGTTTACTAATCAACCAACTGTCCTTAATTCACTTCCTTATAACAGAATAGGAATTATATAGGTTTTAATTCTCTTAGTCATTTAAGTTGACAAAGAAAGAAAATTTTTCATTTTGTAAAATGCTGCCTTTGCTTGAGCTATTCTACATTAAAACTTTTAAATACATCTTCCTTCTGATGTTATCAGATGACTTCTTACAATGTCATATTTTGAACTGCTCAGTTATATTATTCTTTTTTATATACAGAACCGGCTGCAGGGGTTGAAAGCTTACATTCTACCAGCAGGCATCAGTCTAGAGAAGCGAAAGCTTGTGGAAAGGTACATAGCTAAAAACATACTTGCAGTGTTAAACTGCTAACTCTTGATTTTTGAACTTACCCTAGGTCACAGTTTCCTCATGCTTTGTTGAGAATGAGCATTGGTAACTTACTATCTAGTGCAGTCCTTACCATCACAGTGGTGTAGAGCTTATTCCCCAGTAGTGACATGATTGGACTGTTCATTCTCTGTGTGGGTTCGAGGACCCAATTTTGAGGGCAGGGGGAATAGAAACCCCTCCCACCACCACCCCCAGCAAGCATGTGATAAAAAAAGCAACTAATTAGGGATTAGCTTAAATCTGATGTGTCAAAAGGTGCAGATATTGCAGCCTAGCTGTAAACTGGAAAGCAAAATGCCAACCACCCTATAAATGCCAGTGCAGTAGAAGAAAAAGAACTGTTTATGATGAGTATAACAGGGGCATGGATCTAGTTTCAGACTAGCTGTAGGATACTTTTAAGAATGTACTGCAAAGTAAAGGCATCAAGGAAGGGAACTGTTCACCAGAGTTTGAGTTGAAATTAACAACTGACATCACAGCACTCAGGATGACCCATAAGCGTTCCATCCTCATCTATAACAGCTAGTGAAGAGTTCCAATTCCAGTGATGCCAGTAGCAGTTTGATTATTTTTGAATGGAGATGGAGGCAGTCGTAGCAGCTTTCTGCTGGCTTGAGAATCAGCTGCATACATATGTTTTGATTTTAACTGTCACAGAGCATGCTGAAAAAGGTGGAGACAGGCATGCTATATGCAGAGCGGCAAGCATTGCTTCAGGGGTCCTGTGTAGTTAACATCCTTCAGATATTTTTTTTGGGGGGATATGCAGGTGTGTTAGGAAATTAACAGGCAGGCCAGAATAAATAATTTTGATAAACGAGATAAAGTTGGCACAGAACCAATTCTAAAATACATAGAAAGACAGCAAATCAAATGGTTTTCCCACTTGGAGAGAATGCCTTTTGATGCCATACCATTCAAGGCGTATTATACCAAAAGAGGAGAGGGACATAGAGCAAAAGGTAGATCAAGAACAAATGGAAGGATAACATAAGAAAAACTCTACAATACCACCATGTGTCTTTGGTCAAAGCAGCCAGAAAAGCACAAAACTGCCAGAAAAGCACGAAGCAGGACCTTATTTCTCCCTCAACACCCGAAGCGGTAAAAGAGGACGTAAAGATTAAATGTTAGTTCTGAAACGACAAGACATGCAGCGGTGTTGGATGATTGTTTAGGCCAGCAGTTGTGTTCACGGTGTACATGCCAGTGTCCATCGTCTGAAGCATGGCTAGAGACTCAGAATGTGAGCAAGGCGAGATTGCCCGAATGGCGTAAGTTAGTTCATCTGTTGATTCTTGTCACTAGTGTTACATTGACAATAAACCTGTGAAATGTGTCAGCTGTTGTAGACCGTCATTTGAAGTTGTGTGGCTGTGGAGAGAAGTGCCGTCTGGCTAGATTGAACTGTGACATAACACCTAGACAACAGAGTCAGTGTTGAATCTGCACAAGAGGGATTAAGTGTGGAGGAGACACATTACATTGGAGGCTCGTCCTAAGTGAGAAGTACATTGGAAAGAGAGGCTTGTGCATAAATGAAACCAGTAACAAAAGGTTATATTTTACTCAATTTAAAAAACAAAACAAAATATTGAGAGTAGAGGGAGACAGGAAAGGAGCAGCTGGCCAAATGGTTAGTTATCTGGGCTCTCATAGGATTGATCCAGATTCAAACACTGGTAATTGATGCAGATGTTTTCATCTAAAAAAATAAATAAAAAAATAAGCAGAACAAAATCCTTTACTGCACAGTTCATAGCGACTGCACCACCAAGACGGCCTTAAAATCCACAGGCTCATGATTCTGCTCTCCTACATCACCATGTGATAAATACAGGCAATAATGACTTGAAAAAAAAGATAACAGTTTTTTTTAAATATATTAACGCAGGACAAGAAGTTGCAGTGATTTAGCCAACCAGACTGTGATGGTTGTGTCTAACAACAAGGAGTTCATTGAGGCATGGATGTCCATCTTGAAGATGGCACAGAGTCATATTGTTACTCGCTTTCCTACCAGAGCTAGCAAAAGTAAGTGTGATCTACTGCTTGCTACATTACTTCATTTCCTATCATTATACCTGTTGATATAAAATATTGCCGAGGCATTTCTTTCCTTTTTTCCTCCTGTCTTTTCATTTACTGTTTATCATTGTCCTCAGGCTTTGTAAAATTGGTCTAGGTTAATATACGGTTTTTTGAAAACTATTTGGAAATGAAAGCAAAGTATGGAATGAGCCATTACAGCTTCTTATCCATAGATTTGACTTGTAAATAAATCACAGTCCTGCAACAGTACATACTGTACTTTTTAGAAGTTGTTTGGAGTTTAGAGTAACATTGTTTTATGCTTGGTACATGATTTGTGTGTTTGTCTATGATGGCATTTGGGCTTTTGTAAAGCTGACAGTTCTGTTTGATAGTTTTGTGAAATTTTCCTTTACATTTTACAGCTAGCTACCTAAGAATCTATTTTAGTGCAGTGACTAGACTCTTCTCTCTGGGGTTCAAATCCACATCAGCAGAATTATTAAAGAAAATAACCTAGTCTTCCAGGTCGATTGAGCATGAATTTTGCACCAGGAAAAAATCATGTGATGTTTTCTATATCCTACAGCGAGTGCCAGTTTGAATGCTAAATATATGGGTCTAGTACAAAATGCTTGATGAGTCAGTGGTGTAAGAAGGGTCACTAACTTTTTTTCTGTGTATCCTACTGGTGGTTCTGGGGCTCCATTTTGAAGAACAAAGAATAGATTCTCTACCCCCAAACAAGCGTGTCGCACCAGGCAACTAATTAGGATTGTTTCCTGCAAAGTGGAGTGCATTTTTTTGAGAGGCAAGGAACCAGCAGTCTGCTTACAGAAAAAAAAGCCAGATATGTAAATTGTATTTGCACACAAAAGTTATGATTTACGGTATTTACAATGGAATCATCGCCGAAAGGTTGCGATATCCATAATACCGAGCCTAAGGGTTAACAACTCATGGCTTCTGGATACTAAAACAAACAAACAAACAAACATTTATTCAGACCAAAATCCAGGAGTGGATGAACATCCAGAACTTTTCTCTGGAGTTTACAATTGGTGAGCGCTAAGTAGAGAAAGAACCTCTGTTGTCAGAACATTGTTTGTTTTTCTTATTTTTAAATTTACTATTTATATTTGTTGAACCTCTGGAATGTGAACATTTTGCCGATGGAAGTCTAACCCAACTCTGTAATTTTTCTAATCATTAAGATGACCCAGGGGTTGATGTGGTAGTCTCAGACAGTTCTTGTCCATCAACTGTTGTACGGAGATGCCAGCAGCTGGATGTGCCTCTCGTCTCTTCAGAATGGGTAGCTCAGTGTCTCATCACTGGCCATCTTGTGGATGTCAAGGGTCACGAGAAATACAAACATGATTTTTCTTCATGATCTGAAGCAGTGGTTCTCAGCCTTCCTAATGCCGCGACCCTTTAATGCAGTTTCTCATGTTGTGGTGACTTCCAACCATAAAATTATTTTTGTTGCCACTTCAGAACTTCAGTGAATATGTGTTTTCCGATGGTCTTAGGGACCCCTGTAAAATGGTCGTTTGACCCCCAAAGGGATTGCGACCAACAGGTTGAGAACCACTGATCTAAGGCCTTCCAAACTATTACAAAAAAGTGTTATTTCTAACTCATGAAAAGATATCAGATCGGACAAAAAGTAGAACTAGTCAGCTTCACATGATCACAGATAACAATTGAATGTTCTAGAAAGAAAACCTTCATCAGCACATGACATGCATAGACATATTTAGAACAAGAATACTCCAAACCATCTAACTGAGGTCTCTCTAAGAAAAGAAACAAAACCCCATGTATGTCCAGCCAGTTGAAGCTGTGAGAAACATGTGAATACAGGAAATGAATACTAGCCAGAAAAAGATAAGAAAGGCAAGGGCCATCCCTAATAAAATATTAGATAAAGCTGTGTTGTCCATTAAGTGAGTTGGACTTCATTATTTTCCCAGTATTTTTCAATCAGAGACTTTTAGCTCATTTTACAATATTAAATTATTAAAATTTAATTGTCCATAATTTTATCAGCTTAGCAATAATTTTGTAAAATCTGTGATCTATGAAAACTTTACAGTATATTTTATTGTTGTCAATTTTTAAACTACATTATGATTTTATTGTTTTTACAAGATAATAAATTTCATGGAAATTATAGGATTTTTGTGTATATAAGCTTATTACAAGAAAAATACGTAGTCATAGAAATGTATTAATTTTATGTATTTTGTTTTTTGCAAGTGACGAATAATACAATTACTGGTAATGGTAGTAAATTTATAATATGAGTAGCTGTAGAGAAAAAAATAAAACAATGCTAAGTGAGCCACTTTTAACGACTAAATGGTTAAGCTGCACGCAACTGGCCCTGAAAATTGTGGGTTTGCTTCAGGAATTGTAAAATGTGGTTGAAAATGCAGTGTTTACGAAGATTTTGTGTGTTTATTACCAGATCTTTGGGGTTCATGCTTTGTGCAGCCATTTTGTGGAGAGAAACCCAGTCATTAGGAATAAACTGACATGAAATTGATCCTTTTGACTTCAAACATTTAAATTTATTTGAAACTATAGAACATAAAAATGACAAGCAAAAAAAAAAAAAACTGACTGTATATACAAGTTTATGTGTATATCTTTGTCTGCCTGTCTATCTGAATGTTGGCAATATGCCAGACTCACCTAAGTGGAAGTTTTATGATTTTTCACCTAATGCATTTTTAGGGCTATTATTTCTCACTTCATAATTGTTATTATAGTATGCCACAAGCAAACATGAGAATTCCCACTCCAGATAATTCAAAAAGAAGTATTACTTTTCACATCTGTACACAATTTTCATTTGATCTTAGTGTACAAATGCAGTTTTCTCGAAACACGTATTTAGCACGTATGTGTTAAGTGACTTTGGTATATCGCGCCAATGATTATGAATGCACACACACACACAAGTATATGCATGTATGTATGTCTCCAGTTGCAGCATGCATTTGTGTATGTTTTACTTTCTCTATGCAGATGCCAGCTAATGCAGTGAACTGTATGCACTTTTGGTTAGGTTTCCTGTCAAAGAATGTTGAAAGCACAGTAGTTTTTTGGCATAGTCTGTTATTTCCAACGGCTGTGAGATTTTTAGTGTGCACAAAATGCACACAAACTTGTCGTGGCTATCGGAGAGTGTTACAAGAGTCATATCACACTCTACACTAGGAGGGAAGACAAGTTGAACATATAATCAAACTGTTATTGGTACCAACAGCACCTGAACTTTTTCGCTGGCTGCTGAAGATAAAAGACAGACTGTCCCTCCGTGGGTCAGTGGACATATGGAAATGTCCCAAAGGCTTTGATGTCGGTTCTTAACGCAGCTCACGTAATGATGCCTCACCACCCTAAATTCCCAATGACAGCAGTTGTTACACACATAACCGCTGCAGCCAACCTCCATTATGGATGTTGAATTAAAAATCAACATAGCACTTGGGATGTTCCTATATAAGTATCCCCAGTCTCCCATCTTCAGCAGGAAGCGCAGAGTTCCGATTCCAGTAAAAGTCTGATCGTAAATCCGTTTTTGCCTTTTCCTTGATTGTTGAGCATTAGCCAGATCCCTTAGTCACTCCTTGCAGTACCAGTCTCCTCAGACTGTGATGATCTCTTTGTGCCTCTGCACTGTTCACTCGCTCCCAAAGGACTCTTATAACATCTAGCTTGTCATGCATCAGTTCAACACCAAGAGGTGCAGAACCAGCAGGTCTATCTGCTTGTTCATTTTCCAACACACCGGCATAACCTGGAGAAGATGTCCAAGGGACACTAGATACCCAAGACCTTTGAAGGGTTACCGCCATTAAGGATAGGGCACACAGTTTTTTTGCTATCATTTTAATAGTAAATAGATCATATATATTTTTTAAGTGAGACATAGATTTTATATATAGATATATATAATTTTTATTACAGTTTTTTTAAACAAAAATTAATCTATGATTGTATTAGTTACCTCTTTTACATTGTTAAATTCATTGTTTTACATTTTAAAACAATTTCATGCAACCAATATGTTGAAATAAACATTCAGAACTTATTGGTACATAAACATTCAGAACTTTTTGGTACATAAACATTCAGAACTTTTTGGTACATAAACATTCAGAACTTTTTGGTACATAAACATTCAGAACTTATTGGTACATAACAGTTTCTATTTATTTTTGTTGTGCTCAACTGTATCAGCTAAATACTGACTGTTCCTGTATTGTGTTAGTCCTTGGCATATAATCGTCATCATCATGTGCCTGTTGCTAAGCGTAAACAGTCATGTTTCACCGTCTCACATGATTACTGGTATCATAGAGTAGGTCAGTATTCTTGTCTCATCCCATCCATATAGCCAGATTTTCCAGGTTTTTATTTTTAGCTTCCTCTTGCTTATTTGTCCGTGTTTTGCCAGTTTTCACCAAGTTCTTGAGTCTGTTCCTTTTCCTAACATGTTTACGAATATTGACTGTCTACGAATTAACTGATTTTCATAATCAGTGAACACAGTATGGGTTCTGGCATCCTTCCCAACAAGCATATTGTCAGAGTTGACTAATTAGGGGATTCCTTCAAAGTTTGAGTGCATCTGCCTGAGAGGCAAAAACCAGCAATCTGCATTCAGATAAGCCAGATCTGTAAAATAGATGCACACAACAACACTCAGATTCTGGAAAAAGACTAATATCCAGAAGTGGGTGAACAACCATAACTTTCTGCTGGTGTTAGCCGACGATGAACACAAAGAAAGAACAAAAGATCCAGTCGAGTCCACTTAAGTCAAACTCGGATAAGTCAAATTTCGGTTAAGTCGACATGACCAGTTTAGTCCCGGCAATTTTCTCTTGTGTGTGCTGTCTGGATAAGTAGAAATCCTGATAATTGGAAGCATTTTCTTAGGTCCCTGTGACTTCTACTTATCCAGACTAGACTGTAATCAGAAAAATTTAATCTTTATGCACAGCTGTCTTTTTCACTCTGTCCCTCACTCTGTATGCACTTATGCATGCATGTATACATGAGTTTGTGTGAGTGAGTGAGGTTCAAGAGAGATAACTATGACTTTTGTACTGCATGTGCATACGTATTTAGAAAAAAAGTTAACTATACATTTTTTAATTGAAAAAAATAAGCTACGTATAGATAAGTGAAGTCAGTGAACTATAAAGGCAAAATGCAAGAACATGTGTTTTTGACCCAGCAATTACCACACAAAATTTCCGATTCAAGGCTGGTTTTTTTCTCCAAGTGAATACAAAAAGCCAACCAACAGCTAAAGGAAACAGAGACACAATTGATTTAAATGTAAATGTTAAATTAATAATAATAATATAAATAATAGTGCATTTTAATAATACAGTTACAAGTATGACATTGATATAAACAGAGTTTAGATACAAACATTTGATGTATTGGGGAGCCACCATGGTGTAGCAGCTAGATGCTTGCTTGCAGATCTGAAGGTCATGGATTTGAATCTGAACGAAGCCAGACTTTTTCAAAAATGACTTAAAGGTAAATTTGTGGAAAATAAAGGCAGTCGGTCTGCGGTGGACCATATCACCCACCGAGTACTGATTGGTCTATAAAATATAGGTCTAGCCCTATGTACCTGAAGTTGTTGAAAAGGCTCCTGTACTTGGTGTATCAAAACGAAGTGAAGATATACAAATGTACACAACAATGTACATTGAAAAAAAAATATGAACAAAACGGATATAAAAACAAGAAATTTTGTGAAAATGTGCATTTTTTTAATGTGGTAAGCGAACATTATTACAGGTATAAAAGATCAAATAATATTAAAGGGAAAAAATTAGGTCCACATTCACAGTGTCAATGGCTTAGGCATTGCGAACATATTTCATAATTCCAAAATACCTGGATCAGTTCAGCTGCAGACCCTTTTGCGTTGAGTGTGACAGTGGTATTGATCACAAACTGTTAAAAAGCAGTGGACAAGGTAAAACTGGCTCGTAAAAACATATAAAAGTAAATAAAACATGTTGGCTTGGTTCTGCAATGTCTTGTAAAAGATACACATCTAACATTTAACAATGATAAGTAAGTGTAGTAGAAAAAAAAAAGTATAAAGTCAATTTGCATAAAAGTTAAGAAATAAATTGATCACCATAGAGTAACAAGAATAAAAGAAGCATGACAAAGTCTTTTTCTTCTTCTTTTTGCATTCACCAGCTGTAAAGTCTGGCAGAAAGTTCTGGTTGTTTTTCCACTTTTGGACTGCAGTCTTGTTCCAGAACCTGAGTGTTGCGTGTGCATCTGTTTTACAGATCTGACTCATTTGTATGCAGACTGCTTGTTCCTTGCCTCTCAGGCAGATGCACTCCGACTTCGAAGGAGCATGAGAAAATGAAACTCGACAACTTAACAGATCAGAAAATGTACTGCTGTAATTGAATACACGATCTCCAGATGATTTATATGACCAACATTATGATATCTTGCTCACATATGCTTGGGTCAAGGTGAAAATCTTATGCGGCATTCGAAGTATAAAACGGCTTTTAGTTTTAAAAAATACAACAACAAAAAACAAAACAACAACTGATGGGCATTAACATGACTGGCAAAATATCTCACTAATTCAAACACACTGTGTGACCAGTATGATCTAGTAAGAAAAAAAAAAATACATGCTCTTGCAATACTCTGTAATAATAAAGAGAAGTAGAAGTCAAAGAAGAAACAAAATGTCATTAATACTGAAGAATAAAAATTTGATAACTGACATCAAGTGACTACTGTTCAATACAGGATTTAACCCCCCCCCCCCCCCCGCCCCCCTCCCCCCAAAAAAAAAATCAGCACTACCAGTACCAAGTGTGAGCCCCCAGTAAAAAAAAAAAAAAAAAAACAAAAGCAGAATGTAACATCGTGCTACCAGTACCAATTGTAAGCATTAACAGTAAAATAAATTAAAAAAAAACTGAAACAAAAATCCAGAATGTAACATATTATATATAAATGACTACAGGGATCAAGTTGGTACGATGGATGCTGGGTGCAGTCCCCGGAAGTAAAGGTGGCCAGCGTGATGCTGACCACATCACACATCTTGTGCTGAATGGTCTATTAAAAATTTAGGTCTAGCCTATATGCCCTATACGCCTAAAGGCTTAGAAAAAAGTACCTTTACTTTTTTTTAACGAAACCAGTGCTAAACTACATCAAGACACAGGTCAAAAGGTTAATACATGTTTTCCAGACTGTTATAGGACAGTGCAACAGAGAGAGAGAGAGAGAGAGAGAGAGAGAGAGAGAGAGAGAGAGAGCTCTGTCATTCAGACACAATAGAGATTTACTGGTCGCCCACGCAAACAACAAATAGATGAAATACACTAGGTGATGCTGCATCTATGCAAGACACACTTGAGCTCGCACTAGATGCTCTTTAAAACCTGATGCTGAAAGGCAGAACATGCATTTTAGAGATGAAGAACTAGATAAACAAAGTGGCACTTATTGATTGGCATTTATAAATGCAAAGGAAAGAAATAGAGATAGGAGAACACATTTAGGGAAATCTGCATTCTATCTTCCTCTGTTTTTTTTTTGTTTCCTTTACCAGAAAGTTCTGGTTGTTCGGCCACCTCTGGACTTGTCTTACTCCAAAAGAACCTGCATTTTACGTGCACTTTCGTTTTACATATCTGACTTATTTGAATTCAGACTTTAGGTTCCTTGCCTCTAAGGAAGATGCACCCCGACTTCGAAGTTTGTCTCTGAAGATATATTTATTGTGGAAGCAGCGAGTCTACTATTCCTGTTTAATTCTATCTGATCTTTATACATTTTCAAGACTCGCTTGTTACAGACAAACGACACAAAAATGAAAACACCCTGAAGTCCATTCAAGAGAATAGCAAACACTCTGAGAGCATCGATGTCTGTGGCTTCAGCAATGAGAGTCAGTATCCAGAAAATTCCCGTCACTGTGGATAATTTGAGATAGATATAGATGCTCTTACTGCTCTCATGCTTAGATAGAAATTTTTGTGTTTGTAATTTGCGAACATTGTGAATTTCGATGACAGAAATTAGGTAGAAGACAAAATTAGATATTAGAATTCCCAGTATTGGCGTAAATAAAGTAATATACACCAATAACGGCGAATCCAATGAACAATGCTTTTCCCCATATCCATATGTTTGTTGTCCGAAGTCAGCAGATTTGTCACAATAACAAGGGAGACAACTAATGCAGGAGCTGCCGAACAAAAAAATAGTTTCATTGCCATTTCTTTCTTGTACCAGCTAGAGGAGCGTGTGGTTCGGGTTTTAGCACTGAACACACAGAACATGTTATAACTACAAGTAAAACACCAGCAAAATACATTCAGCCAAAAATAATGGATACTTATCCCAGATACAGTACAGAAAAATCCAGTTTTTTCAATTTGTGAAGCTACTATTAAAGATGCTTGAGCAAGGAATAAACTAATACACAAGCAGATTATATTATGTCCAGCAGAGTTTCTCAGTTCGGATAGCAAAACATACGTCAGGAAAGTGAGGACCAGAGACAGCATAGATACACTAATACAAGTGATGGTAAGTATTTCTAAAACACGAAAAAATGTAGTGGAGTCACTGACCCTAACTGACGTCAAATGGGACAATTTGTGTTTCAAGAGATGATGACAAACTCGTAAATCTCCCGCGTCTGTGAAAGATACAAAATTAAGCTCATCTGCTTCTTTAAATATCATTTCACTTCGTTTTAATTTTAAGGTAATTGTCATAGCTGGTGGGAATTGATCGTTTCTGACATAAGTGATATAATCAGATTTAGTAAATGTCACAAATGGACAGCTGAGCTCTGGTGATATGGTAAGACAGTAGCTTTTGAGTTGGTTGATATCAAATTTACGGTTTACTATTCGTTTGCTTTCTAGTTTTGTGTCTAAATATGTGAGATTGTTTTTCTTTATATAATAATCCCCTAGCAGATGTTTCTGATTTTCTTTAATGATAACTGCTTTAAAACGTAATGACATGTTAACATCGCTTTCTACAAACAATTCCTCCTTAATCAGCTGTCTCATAATGTTGTTCTCAAACTCGTCTCGGCGTGTTCCACCGCTTGCAATGATGAATCCTCTTAAGTGATACCACACAGAAGTGTGCAGCTTTCGGATCGTTCCATGGTTAGTTTGTTTCAATGATTCATTCCACAATTGATCAGAGGTTTGGGGAAATATTGTTCTTGACGATAATTCCATGTAATCTTGTTGTTCTAAAAAAATCTTATTAACCTTTTCCATCAACTGAGCAGAAAATGGTCGCCAATAATCCACATCATTTGCAGATTTCAGACTGAAAATTTCGCTACCATTTACTGCCAGAATCTGTGAAGATTTGGGAACGTATAATATGCTAATGTTGTACGCCAGTCCAGAAACTGCCTCGATAACAGACGAACAATTTCCATTAAATAAATTCTTTCCAGGTGAACACTCCAAGGATAGAATCCTTCCATCGAGACTTTTCCACTCAAAATCTGATGTATTATGCTGGAGTAATACCGGGGAATTTCTTTGCAGTTTGCGATGACCAAAATTAAACAAAAGACTAAGTGGTAACAAATAAAATGGGTTGGCCAGCACTTGATTCCTGCCACACGCGTTCAGCCATTCAGGATAATCGTGCATATTACAAATAGCGCAGAAGACATTTTTGTAACAAACCGTTGTGAGTAATCCAGTAAAGCAAGCGTGACCTAACAATGTATCTGGCTCTGCGCAGGATGTGACAATATCGTTATCATACGTCGCCCATTTACCTGTCACATTGCACTTACTCACGATCGGGTTAAACCATCCCGGTTCACACATGTAGTGGTTGTATCCTAAAGGTGGAATCTGCTTCAGATAACAAGATGAATCATTGCGTAGGCTCAGTCTGAGAAATTCAACATCATTCTTAGCCATGTATACTTTTTGATAATGTTGACACACGACGGAATACTCCCAAAGTGAAAACTGAAATAAAATCAAGGAACAAATGCATCTTAGCTTTTTAATAATACTGACATACGATGGAATACTCCTACTGTGTAAACTGGAAAAAAAAAATCAAAGAAAAAATGTGTTTTAGCTTTTAAAAAAAATAATGCTGACATACGATGAAATACTGCCACAGTGTAAACTGAAATACAATCAAGGAAAAAATGTATATATTAGCTTTTTTTTTTAGATAATACTGACATTCGACAGAATACTTCCCACAGTGTAAACTGAGATAAAATCAAGAAGAAAATGCATAAAAGGTTTTATTTTTAGTCAATCACTGTTTTGTCCGTAAGTTTAATCTTATTTTATGTTTTCGTTTCTTCTCCTGTGTAACAATTGAAAATGTTAAACCTTTTTAAGTAAAAAGTAAGCAAAGGACCCTTTTCCACGCCTTTAGGAGTATAGGGCATATAGGGCTAGACCTATATTTTTAGAGATCAATCGGCACAAGATGGTGATGTGGTCAGCATCACACTGACCGCTTCTACTTCCCGGGACAGCACCTGGTACGCACTCAAGGCTGGGTCGACCTGGGAGCGAAGATCACTTTTGAAAAAAGTCCGGCTCCTCCAGGGAGTGAACCCACAAAACCTTTTTAATATGTTAAAATATTTTTTTAAAGTGGCTTTTGATGAGTTTTTTCCCCTTACCCTTTCTCTTTGCCATATAAATTGTTTAAGACTGACTGACTGACTTTCTGCCCCACTAAGACATGACACAAGCGATAAACACCCGATGACACAAAGTGCCACCATGTGGATGAGGATCGCCGCGGAGAGGTCCCAGAAACCGCGTTCAGACAATTGGCCATATTTATGGTCTGCCTATTTTGCGGCCCCTGGCAAAAGCCAGGGTGGGGCTTCGAAAAACAAACAATTTCATCCTAAAAAGAACAAATTGTTTAAGGTAGATTGATTCTTCTCTTATTTTTATATTGCCAGAAAGTAAAAAGAGGACTTGAAAAAAAATAAAAACAAAAAACTTGAAAAAGTAATTACAAAGTTTTTTTTTTTTTTTTATTTCGCTGTTATCTTCCTTGAAACCACATGTGATATCTATATGTGTCCGAGACAATAGATGCCTCTGTATCCCAAACTGTTAAATACTGGTGTTAGTACTACAGGGAAGGCCTCAGATGCACTTAGGAGCAAGGACTAAAGATACGGCAGCGGTGAAAACAAAGTTAAAGAATTAAATAAAGGGCTTTAATTAGACCTCAATTTCCACTAGGCCTACATATACAACAGCGGTGGAGACCAAGATGAGGCAGAAAACAGAATAAGACGTTCCTTCACCATTCCTGGCGAAGCCGGGCAATTTAATCAAGCGTGTGTGTGTGTGTGTACATACACACTTGAATATATATATATATATATATATATATATATATATATATATATATATATATATATATATCTTCAAGTGTGTGTGTGTGTATATATATATATATATATATATATATTATATATATATATATATATATATATATATATATATATAAAACACACACACACACACACACTAGATTTAATTGCCCGGCTTCGCCAGGAATTTTGAAGGAACGTCTTATTCTGTTTTCTGATATATATATATAACTCATCAAGTGCCAGTCCAACCAGCGGTGAAAATCATACCTTCCCACAATTCGCGATTCGCAACTGCATGTGTCAGTTCGTGTGCTGCACCCCTTCAACCCATGACAAAAAGCTGTCAAGTACCTTCTCTCGCTGTCTTTCCCTGTCTCTTTTTCCACAGATATATCAATTAGTCACAATATGTTCCAGTTTCCGTCTTCTCATAACAAGACCAAAAAATGACGACTGTCTCTTTCTGATGTGTGATAGTCTTCGAGCACTCGTCTCTTTCAAAAAACATATGGGTTGCTCTTCTTAGCTGTCCAAGGAATTCTGAAGATTCCTCTATTAAATCCTATCTCCAAGGCCTCAAGATATTGTTCGGCTTGTTTATTAATTATGCAGGATTCACGTATGTGGTTCCATAAAGCATGCAAGAATTCTCTTTCTAACATCCAATTAAATGGATTTGCAGTTTGCAGCCATTATACTAGAGTCTATTGGTCTGTACAAATTTGGGACTTAGCATCATATGCCCAGTATTTCTTTCTGTGTAAAAATTTATATTTTACACACACACATATACACACATGAACACACGCACACACACAGTCAACAAAAATACACACACAGGCCCTTATACGTACCTTTGAAATGCCATTGCACTCAGCGCAGTATTCGTTAAAATATATTACATGAGTTTCTTTGTCAGTCACATGAACTAAAGTAGAGATGTTTTGTTTGCTGGGCGGAAAGTTCACGCTCACACAAAGTTCGAACTGAGTTATTGGGGTAATAATTCGGACATGATCGAATAGTCAAATAAGAAGTATCATCATTGTACCTGTTACAATACAGTGACACCTTTTCACCTATTTGTAAAGTCTCCAATACTTTGTTAGTTTGAACAAATTCTTGGCTTGCATTACTGCAGTTAGTCGCTGTTGAATGGGAAGTGTTTTGAGCTCTCCTTCTATAACCGACAACACCATTACTGTTATCTTCAATATCCGGACAACAAGTGCCATAAATTTGGCACTTTGGCTTATCACAGTCGCAAGGAAAACATTTGATAGTGGAGCATGTTCCATATCCATCGAGAATTACAAATCTGTCTTCCTGACATCTTCCTGGACAAAACAACCGTTGGTAGTCTCGTGGTTGCAAAACACTTTTGTTCCACGTGATGATCTCAGACTTTTCTTTGTATACAGGAAAAGAGTTAAAGTACTTTGCTCCATCTAAAGTATTTTTTGAACTATTGGTTATATTCCTTATAGTCAAACCAGGCAACAAGTTTGTACACATGTCCTTGTGTTCAGAATCCAGCGAAGTTAATGCGCCTAGAGATTTGACCAAAGAATGGACGCCAAGAAGTCCAACAAGTGAATTTATGTAAACAGGATACATTGCGGGGGAAAAAGGTACCCAACATATACACAGTTTAAAACTAGTATTAAAGCTAATTCTCCCCAGAATGCAGGATCATTGCTTCATGAAGGCTAAAATCACAAAATATGAGCCCTAGAATATATATAAATATCTTGCCCGATGCATAAGTCTGTGACAATATGGTAATGTTTAATAATCGAAGCCAAACACCAGCAGTTATTTGAGAGCCTTTGATCAGACTGATTTTACAATGTATAAAATTATAGGTGTTATATAGCAACCGAGACTTGTTTCGGTAAAGCCATTAAATACAGTTTTTATCTAAAGTTTTTATTGTTAGTGATTGGTTTTGGTGATTGTTTGATGTTGTATTGTGTAAGTGTCCTTTGCTAATGCATTAGCATTCTCCGAAGGCCTAATAAATATGTATGTGTTTGAGAGCTATGATATCAATGCATCCATTAACTATATAGTAACATTAGCAACTAAAAGCTTTCAGAAGGATATCCCATAATACTATTTCTCTTTGCTCCTGACAGAAACTGTTCTAACGGAATATTACATGAAAAGCACAAGATGAATTTAATTTAATACAATGCAGCAGTTATCATAGCCCATATAATGTCACATACATAAATATGGATCAGATAAACTTTGAATTTTTATTAATCGTTTGGAAGACTAGAAAAAATATTGTATTTTGTATACACATTTCGAATTCACAAACAGCCACAAAAAAAAAAAAAAAAAAAAAAAAAAATAGAAAAAAAAAAAAAAAACAAGAGGATCCACTTTCCGCCAATAGCGCAGCAGACTAGGCTCATCAATCCCAGTACCAATGAGGGACGCAATTGTTTTATTCTTTTGAAACCCCACCCTGTCTGTTGTCGGTGGCCCTAAATATAACCTACGGATTCAACGGGGTATTTGAGACTTGCGTCCCGTGATTCACATTCCGCTCACTGTGTACCTAACATATTTAGTTTTAGTTCAGTTCAGTTTTAAATCAAGAATTTATTAACAGGTTCAAATATGTCTGGGGATTTTCATGGTATGTAGCCATAACATAACTGGTATTTTCTAGTCATAATTATACGCTTAGAATGTGCTTATTTGTTCTACAGTGGAATCCAATTTGTCTTTGAAGAAAGATCTTTTTTGTTTATTGTACCAGACACTGACACCACACTTTGACTTTTGCTATTCTTCTTTTTTTCTTCTTTCGTTCGCTTGAAATAAATTTTCTATATCTGCAGTGTTGTCTCTAGTATGAACTTTACTGTCTTTTGTAATTCACTCAGCAGCCCGTAAAGTTTGACTTGCATCGATATTTCTCTTGGCCAAAAGATTTGCCCTGATGTGTTTGCTATTGTAATGAACTTGTTTTGCATAGTATCATTTGTTGTCCAGCTTTAAAGTCTCCAAATTATTTTAGTCTGATGTATATAATTCTCTTGTCAATCTTCTGTATAGGCTCCATACATTAAATGCATGTTTTCCTTTTGAATACGAAATGATCTAGTAACGTCGGTAGACTTCACAACCTGTATGCTTGTTATGTTTGTTGCACACTTGTTTCCTTTGTTGTGCACCACATTCTGAACATTCTTCTAATAGACCACATCTGTGTTCTCTCCATTACCTCTTTTAGTACCAGTCAACTCACAATATGTCTGCTGGTTAACCTTTAAACAATATCTATTTGTTAACTTATTAATCCACATTCAGCTTTGTCCATTCTGTCAAAATTTTTACTTTGTCGTATGATATCAGGATGCCTTTTTTTTTTAAAAACCCGCTCAAAAGGAGTTGAGCTGAGTCAAAAATTGACATCACAGCACTCGGGGCATTCCCATGCGTGCTCCGTCCTCATCTTCAGCAGCCAGTGCAGAGTTCCAATACTGATGGTACAGGTCACAATCTGGTTATATGTCCGTCTTGCCTTTCCTCTGAGTGTAGTGAGCCGGCAAGACCCTTTGGTCCGCTCACTAAGAGGAACAACCTGTCCTCAATAGCAACGTTTGTAGAGCAAGCTACGGGGTTCCACACGAGATCTGTAGCCGACACACGAGTTTATAGAGGCAGCCACCTGACGGTCTGACCGGAGCAAAGTAAACCAAACGCAGAGAAGAAGAAGAAAATGCGTTCAGACTTAGAAATGTCTTACTTTAAGTAACACTTGTTAAGATTATTAGGAGTAATACCTGTTTTAAACTGAGTTAAATCTCAATTTCATTAGTCACAATCTAACGTTAACATCATTATAGAGGTCATGATATACACAACTTGTAAACGAACACACTGTTGAGCTTGTGGTCATATTTGAGATTTGGCGTGGCGAATCCTAGTAAAGATTCTTCGGAAGCAAATTTTCTTAGATACTGCGGACGACTGACTTGTTTTTAATACAGCAACCTTTACTATGCTAGGGCCCGCTGTGGTATAGCAGCTAGACACTCGTCTGTAGGTCTGAAGCTCATGGGTTCAGATCCACATCTAGCCAGAAAAAAAAAAGACTTTGGCTCCAGGGTCGACCCAACCTAAAATGGGTACCAAGTAAAATCATAGGAAGTAAAAGCGGTCGCAATGATATTAGCATATTGCCTACCGTACGCCGATTGGTCTGTAAAATTTAGGTCCAGCAGTGAATACAAAATACGATCAAGGGCGTGGAGGAAAGTCTTTCACTATTTTTGTCTTTGGTTATCCGATCATGCCTACTTCAGACGACTAGAATGCTTCAATTGTAAACAGTTATTATACTGGTTTATGATAGATATATTCTATTGATAATTAAAGGAAAGATTTTTAAAATGAAATTGTCCTTACCTACCTGTCAGCGACCTAATTTACTATAATCATTTTCTATGGCTCGCTAGGTAGGCCAGCTAACAGACTTCACTACCCTAAACACACTCAAGACACACCTGCTGAGTACAAACATAATCTTTAATGTACAATGAACAATACAGCTAGAGACACTTCAACTAAGTTGGCAGCCCTTATCTGAAACGGTGGCGTTGAGCAGCTTTTACATTCACTGGTCAACCCAAGCCGTTCCCATGGATCCTCAAGGGCACGATTCCTAACTAACAATTTATCAGTGCTAACAACGCCGCCGTCTTTTGCCACACGGGACTCAGCGGCACACGTAAGGTGTATGGCCTAAGCGTGACAGGACAGTGATACCGCCATTAACAATGCGTGTCACACATTCACTAGCTGCTTAACAAATACTGCGTAGAACGTCTGCTATACAAGGAACATTAACTGTACACTATCTCGTCGAAACATTAGATGGAAACACAGCCTATCAAAGATACTAAACACAGATGCTATTTATTCTAGTCGTCACTAAACTAATGTACTTTTACCTAGTCAAAACGCTACGTCTGGTCCAGTCCAGTGTCACTATACAACTCTCCCAGTCAGCTCTGCCCAAGCTCTTTTGTTCCCCTCTGCGTTCATGCCTCGACACGCGGTAATGCATGTTAATCGTGGAACCTGGCTTAGCCAGTTAACTCAACCCAGTTTATTCCGTGGTCAAGTTGCCCGGTCTCACACTGAGCTTTACTGAAGGTCAACTCGTTCATACGTGATGATTCACTATCATCAACTCCGTTCATGCCATAGCCGAACTGGCCTCTGACACCTGCTTCATGCGACTAAACTGTTTTATGTGTAAGACGTTAGAAGATTGGATTTTTATGGCGTTGCTAAACCGAGAAATAATTTCTTGAATGAAATGTTACATTCTTCAAACGACTAGATTGTTTAATATGTAAACCTTTGCTATGTGGGGAGTCTTTAGAATTACGTTTAGTACTGATTCTTTGGTCAAAATCTCTCTTAGAAACTTTAAAAGGTTGGACTGTTTAACGTGAGATGCGTTACTATATTAAAATCTACCTTAAGTAGTTTCCTATTTGCTTCGCTCTCCGAAGTTCTTGGGCTTGGTTTCTGGCTTGATCGCGAGTGAAAGTGTTGTGGTGATACCAAAGAGTCGACATTGGAGTATGTGAACTGGAACTCTTCCTAGGCTCCTGAAGATTTGAACGAGCGCGTATACAAACGTCTAGAGTGCTGTGATGTTCGTTCTTGACGAAGTTCAACTCTTCTTCTTATGCCTTTCTAACCCCAGTGTAACATAGGACCTCAACCAACTCACGCAAAGTCGTTCTATCCTTCGCTATCGCATGCAGATCTTCCCATGTCTCTCCCCCACCCCCATCTTTTGACCTTCGCACTATAGTACCCCTCTCTGTATGGTTTTTGGTCTTCCTTGATTTAAATGCCCCCTGATGGTTCCAGTGCAAAGACATTCTAGTCATATTGTTATCAGGTTTTCTCAGCGTGTGTCATATCCAAGGCCAGCGTCTTTTCTTCACTCTTGGTCCACTGAACTTTGTTTAGTCCTCTCCAAAGCTGTAAATTAGTGATTCTGTCATAACCATTTAATTTCATTTGTTCTGCGCCGGCACCAATTAATAAATGTTTGTAGTTGATTAGTAGCCGCCTTCGCTGTTCTCCATGTTTCTACTTCATACAACAGTACTCATTTTGAATTTCTTTAGACCTCCACAAATTCCCTAGGGCTATGAAAGCTCCTCTTGCATTTTGTATTCGTATTTTAATATCTCTATCAGTCTTCCAATCTTTATTTATATTACTGTTCAAATTGGTGTACGACTCCACGTCTTTTAGTAGGATAACAATAAGAGAAACTACATTACTGTTTGCATGATTTATTCTTATTATCTTTGTCTTTCCCTTACGGATTTTCAGACCAAGCTGATGTGATCTCGCATCAAGTATATTTAATTTATCTTGCATCTGATTCCGTGAATGGAACAGAGGATACCTATCATCAGCGAGGTTCAGACAGAAATTTACTGAATTTATTCTGGGTCTTAGCA